ATGCAAGGCAAACGCCCTACCTGCTGTGCTATCACCCCACCCGGTAAAACAGAGTGAAGGGAAAATAATGCAAGATGACAGAGAGTAATAGTGGGTGAATAATGGCCATGAATATAGGAGTGTGAGATGTGGTCACCCTGGGCAGTGCACTCTGGGCCAAAATACCTTCAGGAACCATGAATTCCAATTTTACTTCTTTTTTTTTTCAAAATCAGTTGTTCTACCTGATCCTATCTTTTATTTCCTTCATAAGAAAAGGCAGCTACATAGGAGTGTTTCAGTCAGGACTGTTTCATTAATTATCAGTCAGAGCCCCTTATTTCAGCTTATGCTTATTTTATGGTCTCATGGGCTAAATCTCAGAGATTAAAAACAATGATACTGTGATTTCTCCATTAAAATTCAGTTTAGATGCAGGACCTGGGTTATTATATAACCAGAGTTATATTTAAATACAGTTTATTCTACCAGATTTCCCCCTTCTAAACTGTAAATTATAATATGGCAAAAATTAGCCATAACTTAGAAATTAAGCACACCTTTCCCCCTTCTTGATCACCTCTGTAAAATGACATTATCTATTCTCAGTGGTATTTGTTGGGAAATCTAATAACTAATTGAACTTTCTTTTCCCTCCCAGTTTTTATTAATACAACCAGGGTGCTGGGCACAATCTCTGAACAATCTCTGAAGTTTCCTCCAATTATTATTTCCTACGTGTATTCCCACTGAAACTCGACACCATTACATATACCCTGTAGCTGTGCATTTTCTTCAAATCTTCATAAAATGTGCACATATGCTCAACCTCGAACTCTTTAATTCTAGATGAATAGTTACCAGAGAAAGATCAAAGATGCCACTGAAAAGTTGATGGCCCTTGTTGCTGAGCTGTCCATGAAACAAGCTCTGGTCATTGAACTCCAAAAGGAAGTCAGAGACAAAGAAGATTTTCTCTTCTCCTGCAGTTCCAGGATGGAAAAGGGTCTGCCACTCAATAAAGATATTGAGAAAGAATGGTTAAAGGTACTTCGGGATGAAGATATGTATGCCTTGGCTGTTGCTGAAAGGTCTCAGGTAAGCTTTGGCTTCTACATTGTATTTGTAAGGTGTGCCAACAAGAGCTATTTTTTGTTTCCAAACTATATGAAAAACTTCCCACTGCACCACATAATCCTGAAAGTCATTAGTTTCATTACTTCAAAATTTTATGTAAATAGAGCACAGTAGAAGGCAATAGTACAGTGTACCACATTTCCCAGAGGGAAATCCTAAATCCTACTCTAGTCTTACATCTAGTCCTGAAAACTATGACCTCACAAAGTCTCCAATATCTGACCTTGAACCCTGATTGGACCTCACCTGATGCTTCCATGTGCATCTGCCTGGGCCATAACACAGTGTGGGGCCTCCAGCATAGCTGTCATGGTCTCTGCTTCTGCACACTCTGAGGTTGCTGGGCATATATTAGGCCTCAATGCCAACACTCTCCTCCATCACTGGGTCTTAGTCTTGCTCTCTGATGAATCCACCTGCAAGTTGGGTACTGGTTCTTTTACTGCTCCCTATGATTGTCACTGTCAATATTGTCACTGTCACTGTCCTCCCGTTGTTCATTGATTTGCTCAAGTGGATCCAGTAACATCTCCATTGTGAGACTTGTTACTGTGTTATGTCAAATATGTCACGGGTAGCTTGACAGGCTTTGCTGTGCGGGCAAGATACTCTCAGTAGCTTGTCGGGCTCTCTGAGAGGGACAGAGGAATCGAACCTGGGTCAGCCGGGTCGCCCGAGTCGACCGTGTGCAAGACAAATGCCCTACCCTCTGTGCTATCACTCCAGCCCACTTCAATATTATTAGACTGGAATTGAGCACCTCCTTCGAAGGAGACTATATCCTGAGAAAATAAAACTCACTCTGTCAAGTCAGCATGCTGCAAAAGACCAATGTTCACTCCCTCATCCAACGTAAAGCTGCATTTCAAACACACAAGGAATACCTGAAAGGATTGGATTTGTAATAATCATATTGCCTGAGACTGTGTTCCTTAGGGCATTCAGGTTTTAACCATGGAATCCTGACTGTCATTCACTGATCTCCCTTATTTAGAGTTCCTGTCAACACAATGAGAGATGTTGTTTTTGCCCAGAGCAAGTAGTACAGTGGGGAAAGAGCTGTAAGAGCCCTGCCAGGAGTGATCCAGGAGTGCAGAGCCAGGAATAAGCCCTGAACTTACCCTCTGGGGAGGGAGGGAGAGAGGGAGAGAGGGAGAGAGGGAGAGAGGGAGGAGAAGAAAGGAGAAGAAAGGAGAAGAAAGGAGAGGAGAAAGAGATTCTGTTTATCAGAAGCACAGGCAGAATCTTGTGATTTTTGTGGACCTTGAGGCTCAAAGTAAACAGGTGACCACTTCTTTCCTCTAGTTCCACTTTGTTCCCTATCTCTTCTTTTATGTCACATTTGCTCACCAATAACTTACCAAAGGAAAAAGAGGAAATAATTGTCTTACCATTGTCAAAACATGGAAATTATTGGTGCTGAATTAAAGATCCTGAAGTTGGAATTTAGTGACTTGCAGAGACCCACTCATTTATGAAAAAGTGAAGCATGAGTAATGAGGCCCAACTTGTGTCGTGTGTGTGTGTGTGTGTGTGTGTGTGTGTGTGTGTGGTGACTTAACTCCACCCACTGGCCCTTTTGTCCCTTATGGAATATCAGCCAGCACAGACTAAGGCTGCTCAGACCAGCTGTGTGTGTCTGCTGGGTCTGAAGGATGAAATGACTTCACACTGTTTTCAGACAACTAAAAAACAATTTTTTTTCTTTGCAGGAGTTAATGGAAATAGAAAATCGCCAGATGCCCAATGGGGTTTACACAACTGCAGAGCTGCGTCCAAACGCATACATCCCAGAGGGAGAAGCCACTCTTCCTTTGCCTAAACCATACGGTGCTTTAGCCCCTTTTAAGCCTAGTGAACCTGGGTCCAATATGAGGCATATTAGGAAGCCTGTTATAAAGCCAATTGAAATATGAATATGTGAACCAATCCATGTTTCTTAAGGAAAACACTTCAACTGGCTTCTTTACACCCCAGCTGGAAAATATCATCATAATAGCTCCAAATTACAAATCTCATAACCACAATTAATCAATAGAGTATAGCCTTACTTCCTTTCATTTACCAACTACTATATTTTACATGGTGTTAACTATGAAATGGAATTGTCCTACAATTATATCAAGGTATATATTTGCATTATTCATTTCTTTCTTTTTTCACTACATTGAACTTAAGAAGCATGTGACATACAAGATGTTATAAAAATGCATTAAAATAAATCAGCTTACAATAAAGTACAGTAACTGACAGTGTGTACTTTGTTTAAACACATTACTACTTGAAATATTCTATTGGGGCCACTCCAGGTGGTGCTGTGGGAAGGTGTGCTATAGTATCAGGGATCAAACCCAGGGCATCACACCACCTTAGCTATCTCTCAGACCAACGCGTCATTTTTAAATTAATGCTAGGGTAATTTTTTGGGGGGGGTTAGAAAAGGAAATATTCAATAGGTTTGAGATGGGAATCAGCGAGCCACATGGAATATATACAGTTGTCAGCATTATGGAAAAGAACACTGTGAACATTCGTGCATTAATAGATATGGGAATACTCAAAATGGAAAGAATTTTTTTTTAATTCCGAAATTTTTTTTAAACACCATGAGGTACAGTTGTAGATTTACAATTTTTTGTGCTTGGGTTTAGATTATACAATGATCAAATACCCATCCCTCCACCAGTGCCCATTTTCCACCACCATGGATAATATCCCTCCCACCCCCATCCCTCCCATCCCACCCTGCCTCTGTGGCAGGGCGATCCCTTGTGTTCTCTCTCTCCTTTTGGGTGTTGTGGTAATGCTAGGGTAATTTTTTAAGAATGCTTTTACAGCAAAAGCACTATGCTCTAATTTATCTTTCTTATAAATCTTGATCTTTTCCACAATGTTATATGCAAATGAATTGATAATTAAGTTCAGATACCAACATTTTTCAAAATTCCAATAAAAATATTTATAACTTTGCATGAGAAAGAGTTGAAAATAAGGCAATTTTCATCTATTCATTACTCTAATGTTATGACATTTCACCCAAGTATGCTTTCCAGATTTCGTGTTTATATTTCTCATTTGTGAGACGACACAAGAAGGTTGGACATGTAATTTCACAATAGTATGCTCAAGATACCTCACAAAGCTGAATGTGAGAAATACCACATTCTTGATTTTTGCTAAATCAAACAAAATCTGTTTCGAGTCCTCATCTTGCTAGACTATAGGGAAATTTAATCTTACCCTGTCTTTAAGAGTACTAAATCTAATTTGATGGCTTTATGAGGTCATTCTGAGACCATGCTTGACAGCATCCAAAGGTAACTCTATATAAACTAGAATGCAAAGAAACACTAATGCAAAGAAACATTGCATGAAGGATTCCAAAACTAGACACATGGTAAGTTTTACAACTTAAGAATTTGCTCGAGGTAAAGGTAAAGGCCCTCCCGTTGATCGTCGATTTGCTCGAGCGGGCCCAGTAACGTCTCCTTTGTTGTTACTGTGTCTGGCATATCGAATACTCTCGGTAGCTTGCCGGGCTCTCCGAGAGGGGTGGAGGAATCGAACTCGGGTCAGCCATGTTGGCCGCTTGTAAGGCGAACGCCTTACCCGCTGTGCTATCGCTCCAGCCCCACAACTATTTTGTGTCACAACTTAAGAATAGAAAAATAATTTTAGAATATTGCGAAGTGTGGTTGCTTTACTACACCACCTGTGAAAGTTCAGAGGGGGGTGGTACAATTGTTAAGGTTCAGCCCCAAGACTTCTCTACCCTCTATCTTTTAGTGGAAGTTCTCACTTTAAGACTCTTGTCGACTGCATATAATAGTTTTGCTGGAGGAATCTGCTGTAGCAGCAATATTAGCAAAGAATTCAATGATCAGTAGAGGGTAGAAGGAGGGGATACCCACCATGTAGGGTGGAGAAGTTCAGGAGACAGGCTTGCTGTCTGACAGCAATGGAGGACCTGTTGTCTTCACAGCTGCTCTGTCACAGGGAGGGCACTTTTCTCCAAAATGATAGTCCCCTGTGCTTCTTCCCAAAAAGGCAGCTAGTCAGGACTCATGTGTAGTGTCCTAAGAGCATCTTAAATTCATGGGTATCTATTGGTACCCAAATTTATTTCCAAGGCATATTATCAGGACCACCTTTAAGATACTGTGGGGGAGAGGAGAAACAAGTTGGGGAGCTGCCCTCGTAGTGTCTTCTGGCCTTTCAAGGAACATGTTCAGACTCAAGAACCCTTACAGAAAGAAAATGGTCATGCTCACAAAACAACAGAGGTCAAAGTTTACAGGTTTTTTTTAATTACAAGATATTACTACTTCAAGTTTTCATAAATATTTTTAAACTTAAAAAAATTAAATACAGTTCCATCTGACCCATCACAAAGACAAATCCCCTACTTTAAACACTTCACATGTAAGCTGCTGGATGTCACCAGTTATTCTGCACTGGAAACAGCAGGTTTGGCTCAATCCAAATGCAGTTTGTTCAAATACATTCTCTTTCCAAGCAATTTTTATGCAATATTTTTTCTACTTGTTCACAACATAAGAATAGAAAAATAATTTTATAATATTGCAAAGTATGGTTGCTTTATTACACCACCTGTTAAAAGTTCAGAGGGGTTTGGTGCAATTGGTAAAGTTCAGCCCCCAAACTGCTCTATCCTCTACCTTTAAGTGCAAGTTCTCATATATAATAGTTTTGCTGGAAGAGTCTGCCATGGTAGCAATACTAGTGCAGAATTCAATGAGCAGTAAAGGGTGGAAGGAGAACAACAACTAAATGTTGTTTCCAATGACATGTCTAGTTTTTGCTTTTCTGAATACGATTCCCCATACTGTTTTTTTTCCTCTTTTTTTTTGGTGATACTAGAAATGAAACCCAGGACATCACATCTGAGAGGCAAATGCTCCATGGCCACCCCTACATTTTTAAAGCATGTGTTGTTTCAGAGTGCAAGAGAAACTAGCTTTGGGACTGAGAAGCTGCTACAATAAACATCAGTTAGTCCCTAGCATGCTTCCTGAGATTGTTGGTCATTTCTTTACATTTAACTGCTCGTCTGCTGTTCAAAATTAGGACAATCTATAAGAATTCTGTAGGCCAAACTGAGATACAGACAGTCAGAGAAGATTAAAACACTGGCAGCCTATCTAATTGCATTTTCTCTTTCACAAGCCTAAGAGCATTGTGGTATGTTTCAGAGCCGCTTCCTCTACAAACTTTGCATCCACATTGTCATGGACTTCAAAAGTATATGGAACTGAAAAATAAAAATGAGAAAAGATATCATTATAAAGCCAAGAAACATTTCTTTTAATCATTGAAATAAAAACCATTTTATAATTTATCAAAATACATTATTTTGAGGATGTGGTGTTAAAACTTAACCTCAACACCGATCATATCAACCAAATAGTTGGAAACTCTTTAAAACTCTACAAGCCTTCAAGATGATTTGTTCCTTTGGCAATTTATTCTAGGGGTTGTTACGGGTTGTTAATAAAACAGGTACAAAAAGGGCATCCTTAAAGTTGTGTATTTTGGAAAGGAAAGGGTTTGTAGAAGTAAGTAGGAATTAGCTGATATGTCAAGGGTAGAGCAGGACAATCCAGAGAGCAAGATGTGAATTACCTTGATTGGAAGTTTCGATATCTGTCAGTATGTCAATGAAGTAATTCAGTGGCAGAAATTCTATACTGTGGGATGACTTGTCAATCAGAGAATTCCATGGCTAAAAGGTAAATCACATATGGTATATTACTGGTTGATTCTCAAAAACCAGCACAAATGTGAGTGGTGAGAATAAGACTTGGTGTCTATATGGATAAGTTCACGGTCACGGTCCTCCCGTTGTTCATCGATTTGCTCGAGCGGGTCCAGTAACGTCTCCATTGGAGACTTTGTTGTTACTGTGTCTGGCATATCGAATACATCACGGGTAGCTTGCCAAGCTCTGCCGTGGGGGCGAGATACTCTCGGTAGCTTGCCGGGCTCTCCGAGAGGGGCGGAGGAATCGAACTTGGGTCGGCCATGTTGGCTGCGTGCAAGGCAAACGCCCTACCGCTGTGCTATCGCTCCAAACAAAACAAAACAAAGCAAAACACAGTTGAGTGGGGCTATGGTTTCCTACAGACTCACCTGCTTCTTGTAATGCTGAAGCAGTCGCTTCACATGGTTCTGTGAAATGATGTTAGAACTCAAAGGATGATCCCAAAGTCGACAGATCTTCTGACCAATAAGCTGTTATGTAAAGTGAAAAATATTTAGAGAACGACTTTTAGAGCCATGAAAAATATAGCCTAAAGTTTTAATATTAAAAAAATATATTTATTTCATAAAAATATTCTATGAGATATTGTACTTATGAACACCTTTTCCATTATACATTTGTCCAAACTCAGAATAAGCACCACTCAGAATGAGTCATAATGTTAACTGTGGACTTTGGGCAATGATACCATGTCAGCATTCATTTGTCAAGAGCAGCTTACTGAGTATTCTAGTGGGGTCAGAATGATAATTAGAAAGCTTGTGCATGTGTGTAGAAAGGAAGCAAGCATGGGAATTTCTGTACCTTCCACTTAATTTTTCTATGAATTTAAACTACTCTAAAAAAATCATCATTTAAAAAAATGGATAAGTATTAAGAAGAGAATAAGCTCATACAGCATGAAGTAACCGTACCTCAAGTGTATTCATAGTTTCAAAAATATTATTGTAGGGCCTGAGAGATAGCTCAGTGGGTTGAGTGCAAGCAAATCAGACAGAACAGGTTGCACCCTCCTTCCGCATACCACAGGATCCCTGAGCACCACCAGGTGCAGCTCTCAAGCACCACCAGGTGTGCCCCCAAAACCAGAAAAATCAATAAAGTTAAAGTATTATTCCAATGTTGCCAGGCCATTACTTAGACCTGCCTTTATGGCCAATGACCCTTGGAGAAAGGCCATTTCCAGGAGCCAGGCTTCTGCATTTTGAATACTCCCTTCAATGCACCCCTGAAAAATAGTAATTTATACACTGATGCTGCCAAATTCTTTTTCTGAAATGGAGTTCATCTGCTACTCTGCAAACATGCGTGGGTTGTTGCATACCAATCTTGAGTGGAATTCTGATAGGAAACAAGACTGCAGACATGTTTATGTCCACTTCTCTACCAGTGTCTTAATCAAAATTAATGTAAATTCCTAAGGTCACGAGGCAAAGAAATCAAATTTGGAAAGCTCATTAAATGCTCAAGAACCTTCCCCAGAGAGATGGAGTCATAGAAAACAGGCTTTATCCCACTCCTCCGGTCCTTGCATTTGCTTCAGTGAAGCAGTGTCTGAAGGGGAATTGGTGTCATTAAGCAAGAAGATTCTCTCCAGAAAAGGCAAAAAAAAAAAAAAGACATTCCCTCAGGGAGGACAGTGCCAGAGAAACAGATGCTCATGATCTGTGAAGGAGTTGTGAGTTTTGAGGAGGCTGGGGGTTGAGGGTGGGGGGTATCCATAGTTGGAAATTCATGGACTTAAAGCCCAGAAGCCCTTGCTGTGGAATTTTTTTTTTTTTATAGTATTTCTGACTCAAAGAGCCAATCTCCCCAACAAAAACAAGGAGTGTCTGTATAACCCTTTCCCCTGTTTCTCATTCTTCCTTTGACCCAGGAATGCTTTCCTGCTGTGGGGGAAATGACAGTGAGTGGAAACACAGTTCCAGAACCTTCTGACTTCACCTGCATTTCAACTTCTTATCAGTTGACATTCCCAGAGCACCTGCTTCCCCTCTGCCTCCCCTCATGTCCACAGATACTAATATTAGTGTGGTCTCCGAAGAGGAGGAAAGGACAAAATGGTTTTGGCTGAGGCTGTAAGGTCAAAGGAGCGGGCCCAGCCAGAAGCATGCAACAGAGATGCAGTGATAAATGGAATTTCTTGGAAAGGGTGGAAAGTGAAAGAATTTGATTGACCTTAGCCCAAAGCAAGTAGACACTTTTCTTGCAAGAGCAAACTGAAGACGGTGTGTGACAAGGCATGGGAAGATGGTAAGACTTAATTCAGGATTACCGGAGGAAGCCGCACAATGATACTGAATTTCAATTTTTCGTTTTTTTCTGTATTGTCCAAATCTGCAAGAAAGTGGACAACACATGAGTAAGTGAATAATACAGTTGAGAGGGTCATCCCATTGAGCACATGTCCCAGTCTTTCATTTCCAGCTCGGCCTATCAACGCTTTGAAACCTTTAGCTTCGGTCTGTCTTGAAAACATTCCCCTCCCCCCAACCCCCAAGCTGTTTCTTTGTTGTGGAACATGGCCCTCACGGGCTGCAAGTCACAAAGCAATTGTACCAAGTAACTTAAAGCAGCAGGTACCTGAGGAGAGGCCACTACTTTAGCAAAAAAGAACCGACCCAAACCCATTATGAAATACCACAATGAAAGAGTCTGCATGAGAGTGGCTATGCAACAGACTATAAAGTTCCAATTCACAAAAGCACCGCATCACTGTTCTCCATCTAACTTTGAGAGGAGAATGTGAATTATCAGGAAATAAGCCCATTGGTGGTATTTTTCTCAAGACAAGGGCTTTGAGGGCTTCCTATCCTCAAGTGTCCTCATGAACAGGAAAGGGACTGAACAGCTGTCTTTGGACTGAGATGCCTCTTGAGCCCTTCAAACTGACCCAAAGGATCATTCATGTGTGAACTGGACTCTGCAGGACCAGAGGCATACTCTGTGGCACCTGGTACAAAATGAAATTGAGGGGCTCTTGGTTCATACACTGACCTCGATATTAAATAGAGAGCATCACATCAATCAGATGGGCAGGGGGGGAGGGGAGTAAGCATGCCCTTGCAGATGGCAAACCCCTGGTAGCACCTCTGGAAAACAGGGCGGGGACAAGCGGGGGTTCTTACCCTTCATGAGCCTGGTGACAGCGGTCTCTGTGAGACGCAGCACACCATGATCAACGTAATGCAGCAGGTTATGCAGAGGGAGGCAGTGGACACCCAGGATCGTGTGCAGAGTGTGAAAACCTGCAGGAGGGAGCCGAGGGTCACCAGGACTGGCAGCACAGCAGCAGGGTGGATATTTGACTCATTCTGACTGAACAAGGATGTCCCCAGAAACCTAAAGCAAAGATGCACCCAGGCGGAGCTGAGCTCCTGCACACAGAAAAGCCGCTATCAGGCCACGCCCCGGCTTCCCTGCCTGTGGGGAAGGTGCTTGGGGACCGGTGAGTCCCCAGAATGGGTTCTCCCTTCACCTTTCCTCAGCCACATCCACTCAGCAAAGCAGTGTTGTGGTAAAGGCTTTGCAGTTCTACACTGAAATGGCAAAGGAGGAAAAGAGTACAGAACTGCTCCTCCTGCTAAGACTAAAAGCCTCATGAGTTGGGACCTTTTGGCTGAAAGGGGGGAGTGTTTCTGAGGCTTGGGACAAGGATTTGATGTTTGGAACCTAAAACCAGTTCTCACTACTCCAGTAGGTCTGAAAAGCAAGGACATGTAACACAAGCACACCTACAAATGTACTGCACACACACGTGTGTGCACACCTGGGTCAACTTTGCTTCATTTCTACTTCCAGGTCATGTGAAGGAAACCAACAGTTGGGAAAAAATAAAACATCTCCCTTCTTGGAACATAATTTTTATTCCATTGGAACAATTTAGAGCCATTCATTTGCCTCACAAATCAACACTTCCAAATCCCTACAAAGTCAAACTCCTTTTGAATGTTCTCTACAAGCAGACCTTAGAACATAAGAATGTCTGACTACAGAAAGCATAGAGCTATAGACTATTACAGATGCAGGGAAGCTTCTGCAGAGAAGCAGTGGATCCACAGATACCCAATGTTACACATAACATCAACCAACTTAATTGAAGAAGATTCAAGTGATAGCACAGAGAGGTAGTGGCAGAGACTTTTGGAGTCATTATGTGGGTTTGTAATACTAACTCTGTTGCTTACTAACTCTGTGACTTTAGGTAAGCTAATTAACCTTGCTGAGTCTGAGTTTTGCCATCCATAAGGGGGGAATAATAAAAAGTGAAACCATCTGAAACTGCTATTTGTGCTGTTCAAAACCTATTTGGATATTTATAAGTTTATGTGGTTCAATTTCAGCTCCTACCACTTAAGACTCTTATGAAAATCAAATGTGCTAATTTTTGTGAAGTTGCAAAATTGGAACCATGCATGTTAATGTGGGGTCAGTGAGAAAAAGTGAGCGAGTGCTGGGTTTAAGGCACTTGCTTTGCATCCCCAGTTTGATCCCTAGTACCGCATAGGAGCCCCCTGAGCAGCACCAGGAGTAAACCCTGAGCACAAAAGCAGGAGTAAGTCCTGAGCAGAGTAGGCTGTGGCCCAGAAACCAAAACAATAGACACATACATGTTAGTATAAAAGAAATAAAATAATGGTAGACAGATTGGTGGGTGAGTGGTTGTGAATGAAGAAATAAAACTGGCTGAAACAAGTTATGCTATGATAGTTATCAAGTTTTGACTTGGGAGAACCTCCCTAGAGGTGCTGAAGGCTAACCGGGCTATGCCTGGCTGTGCCTGGGAGGTCATGCAGGATGGGGCTAAAACCTGGGGCCCTATGCCTGCCTGCCTGTACCCCAGCCCTTTGTATTATCTCCCCAGCTTGCTATCACACAAGTTTAACATGCTCAGAATTTACACATAACAAATACAAGGCAGTTAGTTTACAGCAAATGGGAGCGAGGTTGTTTCCTAGAATGATGAGATCTTTGTTACTGCCCTAATTTACAGTGCAGTGTCTGGCGTGCAACATTGGATCCACCCACGTTTGTGACTGAATGAACAAATGACCAACTAAATGAATAACTGCGTATGCATGTGCCAAGGCATTTTGAGGCTTGACTTGGTCCTATTTCAAAGCCTCAGGGAAATTTTTCGCTTCTAAGAACTTAAGACTCTGCTCACTTCTTGGCATCCAGCCAAACCCACTTCCTTCTGAGTGTTAACTTCCAGACACCATCATCAGATAAATGAAGTCTGGAGACATCAGAGCACCATCTTCCTGGATCCACACCCCGGCCTGAATTATTTGAGAAAATTGCAAGGGCAGCACTCTTCACACCCAAAGTGAAAAGAAAAAAAAAAAAAGCTCACAAGAGTTTCATGATCAGGGAAGATGTGCCCAGGACAGACTGACCCTGACAGAGAGCAGAGATTCCAGAAGCACAATTTCACACAGTTAGGAGTTCTCCCCCTTAAATTCACAATGTGCCAAAGCCTAGGGATCATGTGGCAAAGGAAATATATGTGTTAGGACAGAGGACGAAAGAGCCAACACTTACCAGGAGGCAGAGGTAGAAACAAGCTGTGAGTAGCTTCCAAAATCCTGGTCATGAGGCGGAAGACTGCAAACTCAGCAGCACAAGCCTTCCTGTTGCTGGGCAAGATAACAAAAAAGTACGTCACCTCGGGAGCTGGTCTCCCACCTGTCTGTTCTGATCAAGGGCTCTGAGTGTCCCATCCAGCCGGGCGGGCACTCATCTAGAGAGTGCTTCCTGAGTAGGATGGTGCCCATTGGCCGGGTGTCTAAACAGTGGGCACGTATAGGACAAGGTGCCTGAACTTCAGCTCTTGGCAGAAGGGTGTTCACTTGCACCTCCCTCCTCATCAACCCTATGCCAAGAACAAGGTCTGTGGAGTCTCACGGACACAACTTAAAAGTTCTCACTACAGGACCCCGAGAGGCAGTTTGGGGGCTGGTGAGAGTTGCTTTCATCGGGGAAGTTTTGATGAGGCTTTTTCCAAACAGACATCAACCAGAGCTGAGTTGGCTCCCTCCTGGCACACCAAGATGAGAGAGAAATACTTGCGTACGGGTGGAAAATCCAGGGATGAAGATTGTGTTTTCTCCAACTGCTTTCCAGTATCTGGCAGACGAGATCCAGCTAGAAGATAAAGATGGTCCATGAACTTTCACTAGCATTCTTTACTCTTTTGCCCCTACAACTATCCCCCTATGGGGCCTGCCATGCACATTTCAGGGCAGCTGGCATTCAGACGTTGCCCTGACACAGAATCCACTTTTCTAAGGGTTGTTCAAGGCCCTGGAATCCAAAATGGAAAGAGTGAAAGTGTACATCAGAGTGTAACAGAATCCCTCTGTCTATAGAGGCAGCTGCCCTCGCCTGGCCCCAGGCACAATCATGGGCCCTCATCCATTATTGAAGGTCAAGTGCAAGGGTTTGCTCTAAGCTGGCTCTATCTGGCAAAGGTCGGCAGCTGACAGAAGGAGAGCATGGTCAAATGAAGGTTCCGAGCCTGAGCAACAGAGTTAAGATGAGTTTCAGTGCAGGGTCTACATTTTAGATTCATCTGTTGGCTGCAGGGCAGTGTTCCCAGTGCTGTTAGCAGCTGTGATCCTACACACTGTCCGTGTAGGCTCAGGAGAGTTGGTGAATCAGAAGGGTCTCCACATTAGGACAGATCACTGCTACTTATTCTCCATGACATAGAATGCTGGCTTCCCGTTGGCTGAAGTTGGGTAAGGTAACATATGAACAACAGAATCAGGTTATACAGCAACATCCATGGGTTTGTTTTAGTGAATCTCCTCCTGAGAGGGGCTGTGTGCTGTGGTGGGTTGGTCTTGGGCAAAGCTGGCAAAGGTGGCCGAAGTGACCCGCTCAGAGAAAATTAGGAGCGCTGAGTTTTCTGGGATGATACATCAATGTAATTTCTGGTCCTAGATTCTCCAGGGTTGATAAAACAAACTAGTGTTAAAACTTCTAGGTGGGCGGCCAAAGCAATAGTAACAGAGGGGTAGGGCATTTGCTTTATGTGATTCACAATTTAGGATCCTACTAGAAGATAAAAATGGTTCATGAACTTTCACTAACACGCCTTCCTCTTTTGCCCCTACAACTATTCCCCTATGGGGCCTGCCATGCACATTTCAGGGCAGCTGGCATGCAGGCAGTACCCTGACACAGAACCCGCTTTTCTGAGGTCAATTTCAAGGTCCTGGAATCCAAAAAGGAAAAAGTGAAAGTGTACATTAGGGTGTAACAGAGTCCCTCTGTCTATGAGGGCAGCTGCCCTCGCCTGGCCCCAGGCTCACAATCACGGGCCTTCATCCATTAGCGAAGGACCATATGGTCCCCTCAAGCACAATCAAGAGTAATCCCTGTCTGCAGAGCCAGGAGTAACCCCTGAGCATTGCTGGGTGTGGCCCAAAACCAAAATGAAACAAACAAAAAAAAACACACAGAAAAACCATTTTCTAAATGGTTAACTACAGAGAAGAATAATGCTTGAACAAAAACCCTAAAATCTTTGGATGGAGGAACTTATTCTTATTTCTCTTGAGGGCCTTCCAAGCAGAGCTCAGGAGGGCTACTCTTAGCAATACTTAGCCGACCAGGCTGAGTGGTTCAATACTAGGGCAAGGCACTGTGACTGAGCTCTGGCCCAGTGGTGCTTGGGGCCATCAGCAACACCCTGGTGGGGATCAGGGAGCCCTGAGGTGCCAGGGATGGGACTCAGGGCCTGTATCTTCAAGCCATGCACCTCTGGCCCTGCACTATCTCTCCATCTGATGAAGCCTAAAGTCAACAGAAAGATAACAGGTAGATGTGGTAATTGATTGTTACTCAAGGCTTAAGAAAACAAGTGAATATCAACAGAGGGAAGGCCAGTAGCACAACCATCAAGTCAGAAAACTTTACTGCAAAGCAGAGTTTTTTAAAAAAGTTTAAAGCACACAATCATAAATAACAGTATATGAGAATACCAGTCTCTTCTGAAGACTGACTTAATCAGAACTTGGTTAAATAGTAAACTGCATGCCTCGTGTGCACGAGACCTGGATTCAATCCCTGGCCCCATGAAAAATTAAAAGAAGGAATCTTAAATACTATTATAGAAATTTGAAGATATTTAAAACAGATAATAATGAATGCAATGAAAAAAGAAAACTTTTAAGTTAAACATGAAAATTCAAAGTCATATCTAATCAAGTTCATCTTTCAGCTTTTGATGCAAAAATACATGTTTGCCAAGGCAATAGAGAATATACAAAAATGACAAACTTTAGCTTTGAATCACAAAACAGAGACGACTGAGCAGTCAGGGGCCTGGTGGGGTGTAGGAAAAGGCAAACTACAAGTGGTACAGGGACAAGGGGGAAGGGTCTCCTGCACTTTGATGGGGGTTGGCTGCAGTAACTTGTACATAACATTGTAAACTTTAACACCACTGCAACTATGTTGCCCAAACTATAATAATAGACACAGCTGCATACTGGATCATTTGCCTTGTACAAATGTGGAGAAATAATAGAGTTCTTTATCCATCTGTACATTTTATATTATTTACTGGTTTTTTGGTCTATACCCTGAGGTGCTCAGGGCTTATTCCTGGCTCTGCATTCATGCTGTGACTCCTGGAAGGGCTCTGGATATCATATAGGGGCCAGGAGTTAAACTCTGGTCGGCCCATGCAAAGTAAACGCCCAACCCACTGTACTATCACTCCAGCCACAATATATTTTAATACTTTAAATTTTTTTCTCAGCATATTATTCCTGGGTTTTAAGCAGGACCCAGCCCTAACTCCACATGCTTCTTAAGACTTGAGACAAACTCAAAATTCAATCTAGCCACAAATCACTTCTATTTACACATTTAATTACGTTTCTAGGTAGATGAACTTCCAATCTCATCAGCAGACTCTGTGGTAACAAAGATAGTTGTATTTATACAAGTAAGCTGGAATCTAGCCTAATTGGGCAGTTGGAACTAAGAATTGAGGTTCAAGTTAGCTCATGTCTGCATAAACCACCATGTACTGAAAGCACTACCTACTATTTAATAAAGAGCTGGACCATGCCAAGATGAAATGTGAACATTTGGAAAATGTGCTAAAAGCCTTCATCTCTCCATGTTTCATGTGCATATAATCACTATTTGCAGGGAGCACAGTAAACCGTAGTCCAAACCCAAGTCTTTTTGTTGGTTCTTTCATTCCTTTCCTTGAATATATACACCAGCAGAGTGTATATTACTCTCAAAATGTGCCAGTTTGAGAGTAACAGACTTCCAAAATCCTAATGCAAAATACATACCAAATCACATCTCAGACACCATGGGACCAACAGGGTAGACAGCAAAAAGCAAAACTTACCAGTTTTGCAATGTAGTCAAGAACCATCTGTTCTATTTTCTTCTTTTCTACACCCAGTAGGTGTCGTAAAAGATGGTCTTTTAGCTCAGACACCATCTGTAAAAATGATAGGGATTAAATAAGTCACATCCTAGTCACTCCATACCTACAACATTCTTTATTAACACAAAAATATTGGCGGTCCAGGTAAGTATCTCAGTGATCGAGCACATGTCTTACATGTGCGAGGCCCAGGATCAGAGGGAATGAATTCAGAGATTCTACCTGCATGACACAAAACCCACCATGTTAACTCTGATGGGGCATAAATCAAAGGTGTTAACATTTTCCTCAGAACAAACTATTGCAGAGACCAGAGTGATAGTACAGTGGGTAGGGTGTTTGTCCTGCACATAGCCATCCCAAGCTTAATCCCTAGCACCTCATAAGGTCTCCCGAGCATTGCCAGGAGTGAGTAATCTCTGACTGCAGAGCTAGAAGTAAACCCTGATCACCGCCAGGTGTGCACCACCCCACTACCTCAGAAAAGGAATTATTGCAGTTTCCTCCAAATTCCTGTGAGGAGCTGAGTGTCAGAGGTTTGGGAACTGTAGAAGGACTAATCTATGGCTCTGGCCCCAGGTGGAACAAGAGTACAGTGTGCCTGTCAGGGAAGGTTGAGACCTGCTCTGTTCTAATCTTGGGCTTCTCTGCTTCTCTTCTCTGTGGTATTCCCTCACTACCTGACTGCTTTCTTCTCTTCTCCCTCCTTTCCCCCAACCCGTCTTCCTAGACACCTGCTCAGTTAGAGCCTCCTGGCTACAAGATCTTGCCACCAACAGCCTGCAGGAACTACATCTGCCATCACACGTGTTCCTGGCATCTATTTTAGCAGATCTGACTACACAGTAACCTGGGTTAAATGGCCCGTGGCCTTCTGAATCAAGGTCTATTATTTCAGTTTAGTCTCCTGAATGTGCTAATTGATTTGACTTAATTTATTTTTTACTTCTGTTTGAAGATATTATGCCTTCTTTTTTAAAAAACAATTTTTTATTGAATCACCATGACATATTTACAAAACTTTCATGTTTGATTTTCAGCCATACAATGATCAAACACCCATCCCTCCACCAGTGCACATTTTCTACCACCAACATCCCCAGTATCCGCCCCCTCCCCACTTCCCAACCCTCTCCCTGCCTCTGTTGTTGACAATTTTCCCCATACTTTCTTTCTCTACTTTTGGGAATTATGGTTTGCAATACAGATACTGAGAGGCTATCACATTTGGTCCTTTATCTACTTTCAGCACACATCTCTCATGCCAAATGATTCCTCCAACCATCACTGACTTCATGATCCTTTCTCCATTCCAGCTGCCTTCTCCCCCAGCTCATGAGATAGGCTTCCAACTATGAAGCAATATCCCTGGCCCTTGTCTCTACTGTCCTTGGTTTTCAGTCTCATATTATGTAGTTTTATATATGCCTTCTTTTTACATTTTCCAATCTCTCTGTAAAATTCACAGAAATTAAAATTAAAATTGCTCACAATTTCACCAACTGTCACTGTCACTGTCCTCCTGTTGCTCATCAACTTTCTCCAATGGGCCCAGTAATGTCTTCATCGTAAGACTTTGTTGTTACTGTGTTTGGCATAACAAATACGCCACGGGGAGCTTGCCAGGCTTTGTCGTGTTGGCGAGATACTCTCTCCAGAGGGCGAAGGAATCGAATCCGGCTCAGCTGGGCTGGCTGCGTGCAAGGCAAACGCCCTACGCCCTACCGCTGTGCTATCGCTCCAGCCCTTCACCACTATAGTAATATATTTTTATATTCCTTTTCCTATCACTATAATCTTCACTATCACTCTATTTTCTAATGATTTGAGAAATTGCCTACTTTATCATTATTTTTTACCACACTAGCCATGATGGTTGCATATTATTTAACTTTATTCCATGACTATCACCGACTTTCTTATTTTAATCTTTTTCATATGTGATGCTGTTTTCACATTTGTAAGAGAATATAGAGCCTGCTTGCCATATCCTCATAATTTCTACCAGACTAGTTTCAAAAACGGAATTCGTTATACTTGCTTATATTTCTTTGGTCTTTCTAATAGTAGAACTTCTTGAGAAAAGAGTGCTTGGTTCTCTTCAATTTCACCCCAAACGCAGATGCCATTTTAAGTAACACTCTCAATACTACACTCTTGCTTACAATATTGTATAACTGTGTATTTACTAGAGTGCCCGATTGATACACATGTCCTCTGCTATGCTACCAATTACCAGATGGTATAAATCCTCAACACTGAACACACAGGGCCTGCCAGGGGTGGCTGGGAACATGTGTTCCATGGAAAGAATTGATGGAAAACGAGATCAGTGTGTGAAAGGCAATCACATCTTTCCCCCTTCTTGAACCCACCTACACAGCCTTTACCAAACTTACCAGTCCTATGAGCAGCCGCTGGTGTTTGTCCTCCTCCTGGAAGAGGGGTATTAATCTTGGCTCTAAAATTAAATAGCAAATAGACATGCAGGGTGGTTTTCAGGAAATGGGCTAGAAAGGGAGGGAATCAGCATGGATTTCCCCTTCTCTGAGTCACTAGGCAAAGAGAAAATGTCTTCCTGACAGAATAAAAGCTTTTCATTTGAGAACATAACCTGGTCCTCCAGGATGAATTTATCGCTTAGGGGATCTGCTGAGAGTGAGCAAAACAAAGAGGTAGAGACGAAGGCAGAAAGAGAACAAGGGCTCCCCAATACTTATGGGTTCCAGTTAGGATTTCTCCTCAGCATGAAAGTGCACCGTCCTCTGAGAGGAGGCTGCTTCCTGAGAAGAGCACAGGGGCCTAGTGGATCTCCTGAAGCCCTTGATCCTGAACCCCATAGTTCAGTGACTTTGGAAGCTACTGAACTGAAGGAACTGGGGCATTACTGTGGTAAATCATACTAACTGGCACACTTTTGGGGACGGAAGAGGTAGCCAGGTCAAGAGGAAAATGTGCTATGTCAGATTAACCCAGTGGCAGTTCTCATCACTTCCTCCATAACTGGCACTGAACCAACACAACAGATAGACAAACACTGTCTCACAGGAAAAATCTGCTCTCACCCCAAACAATCACCTCAGGTGCCAACTGCCACACCGGGCACTAGACGTGAGATCTCTATGCCCTGAACTTTCTGCAGCCAGGGCATAGGGCTGATCAAAAAGGCAGACAGCTTTAGTCAGTGGACAAATGACTCTTCCTGGGGCATCCCCAGAATCCCAGATCCTCTGCAACCTTCATGACTGAGACAAAACAATTCAAAACCTGATCATGCAATCCTGAACTTCACAGAGGATTCTGTTTTGACAGCGACTGCGTTTTCACAAGGAAATGAGACAGAGAAAGCAGGTGAGAGGAAGGGGCTGTTTCCCTGGAGAGCATTCAGAGAGTCACTGCAACCGGACACAGGCAGCGTGGCCTCAGAAGCAGGAGCATACAGAGATCTGGTGGAAGCGGAAGGTGAACAAGCAGCAGAAACCTCTCTAGTTCCCCCTCTTGCAATACCCCTACCAAGGTGAGCAGGAAACAGCCTGAAGGCCTCACAGCTGTGTGCCCATCTCCTGGGCCAGACTCCTGCCTGGGGCCAGTGGCAGAATGGTGGTTTCAGTGTGGATGGCTGGAAACGTCTAGAGTCAGGCTAGGGTTGTGCAATGAGTCCAGGTCAGGCTGGACATGTTCCCCATCAGGGTTCACGGGGTGGGGGGGGGGCTGTCTGCATAGCTATGTGCATGGAGGCAGGATGTACACATGAAACACTTTCTGCTGGGGTCACCCAACAATAACAGACATCCATGCCCAGAAAACATACATGGGATATAAAAAAATGCTTCCAAAACTGGAAGCTGATCTTTCCACAGACAAAACCATGAAAAAACTTGTGACCTGAATATGCTGATGAGCATTCTCCCTCCTTCCCCCTTCCCCCTCGTTTTACCCAGCTAAGTCCCCTCCTTTCCAAGACTTCATTGGCTGTCACCCTTCTAGGCAGTCTCTTCCAATCTCCCTCTTTCTCCCAATCATCCCCACCCCTGACCTCCCCCCTCCACCCTGCCACCTAGGTGAGCAATCACGTGTCACCATTTCTTCCTCACATCAGTTATGAAGCCAAATGCCATACCAGGTACTAGATGCAAGATCCCATTTACTCCCATTTTCTCCTAACCCTGGTCCTGAGGAGGGCAATGCATGAGATGAATACACACCTACCAGCACAGGACTAGCATGAGGCCAAGCAGAGATTGAGCCAAACTCTGCCTGTCCCAAGCAGAGGTGCCCCGCCGCCCCCCTCCAAGCTCCACCACCCCTGCCATACCTAGATTTTTTTCATTTTTGTCTGCCTAGCATTTTCTCATCTTCGTTCTCTTCTGTCCTAACCAAAATGAGAGGTATGTACAAAGTCCTGGGGTGATGAGGAGGTTGGAGAGAAAGTAGCCCTAGAATCAGGATTAGCAGAAGTGCGTCTGTGAGCAGAGGCAGGGGGAAGGAACATAAATCAACTCTAGAGGGAAAAATAACAAAAACCAAAGGGCTGAAGGGTGGACACTGGGAACTCCTCCTGCAAAGCACATCCAGCACTGGCCCACAGCCACAGTCCTGTCAGCCTGACTCAGAAGAGGCTGGGGGCGTTCTGGGAGAGACAGTCTCCTTTACACTATGGCAAGTCATTTTCTTGCAAACCCAGAAGCAGAAAATTCGTGTTGCAAACACAATGCTGGCTAAAATACGGAAGCCTTCCCCCCCCCCCCCCAGTCTTTTCTTACCCAAATTTCTTGCTTCTAGGTTAGAAATCACCCTACCAAAAAAAAAATTAACCAGTGTTATTCACACAGGAAGCATTTTTTTAAAGGCACTAGAAACTTATACCATCATAAAATGATACCTTCCATTTAAAAACATGAAACAAAACAATCATAAAACCAGTGCAGAAACTGTTCTCAGACTGCTGAAAACCTCAAATTTCAATCACCTTGGCAAAATCCCTTTGAGACCATTACAAAACTTCAAGAACCCTTTAGAGCAAATGATGGCAATCATTTTAGAATAATTGTGGCTCTGTTATTAGAAGTAACGGTAAAAGAAAATAACACTGGGATTGGAATGAGGCCTGTATTTGTAGAAGTCTAAGTGACTAATCTCTCCAAAAAATTGTGCTTTCAAAATAAGAGCAAGTTCACCAGCCCATTAACATGTCTGAAGACTCATCCTCTGCAACCCCTAGCCAGAGCAATAGAACAATGAGGAAGGCGTTTGCCTTGCACGTGGCCGACTTGGGTTCAATCCCCGGCATCCGATATGGTTCACCGAGCACTATCTGGAGTGACTCCTGAGTGTGGAGCCAGGAGTACCCTGAACACTACTTGGTGTGGTCCCAAATCAACCCCTGTAATCCCTGTGTGTAACCCCCTATACCCATAACACAATCAACTAATAAGAGCTTTTCCCTTTTATTTAAACTACACATCTTCTCTTTCATTAAGAAACTTTTGCCACTAGAAATCTCAGCACCAAACCCTAGAATGCTGTCCAGGTAGCTGTAACTATTAAACTATGACATACAAGTAAACAACCTGTGTGAAAGGTAGTAAAGTCATTGTGAAAGATCACCATCTTACAAATACAATAATCTCTAATTGTACTTACTTCATTGCATTATCAACAATATTCCGTACATAGGCCAGAGATCTTCTTTTTCCTGTTTTCTAGGAGTAAAAACATGACAGAGTTGTGGAAGATGAAGATTTACTGGATGGTATTTTACACAAGGACATCATGAAACTGAGCTAAGAGTTTTAGAAAGGTAGGGTTGTACAGTGGGCAGGATGGCCAACGTAGGTCTGATCCCTGGCATACAATATGGTCCCCTAAGCACTGTCAGGAGTAATTCCTGAGTGCAGAGTCAGGAGTAAGCCCTGAGCATCACTGGGTGTGGCATAGGAAAGAAAGAAAAAGAAAGAAAGAAAGAAAGAAAGAAAGGAAGGAAGGAAGGAAGGAAGGAAGGAAGGAAGGAATTACAACAAATAAGTAAAATATAAATAACTGTAATTCAAGTTTAAAAAAACCTGGGGTACAGTGGGTGGGGTGTTAGCCTTGCAAGCAGTCAACCCAGTTTTGATCCACACTACCACACATGGCCCCCCGAGCACTGCGAAGTACAGCACAAAAAAACAAAAATACAAAAATAAAAACTGGAAAAATATTTTTTAAATGTGTTTTGTTCTATAACCGTTAAGAGACTTATAGGAAGTTGCACGTCAGCTGTATACTATATAGAACAATGCTACAGAGATCTAATGTACTCTTCACCCAGTCTCCCCAATGTTACTTACAGCTTACATAAATAACTACAGTATAATATCAGAAACCCAACACTAGTGACTACGTGGTTTATTTTATCATATGTGTAGACTCAGAGTCCATAATCATATCCTACCACAGTCAAGACACAACAGCTCATCTATTACCCCAAAGACCACTCTCATATTATCCCTTTGTCACCTTCACCCTTCTCCTTTCAACCATCTCTGACTTTTAACAACCACTAAATTAGGAACACCTAGATTGGGGGTGAGATCAGGCGGTACGAGAGGCTTATACCTCTGTGCTCAGGGTTCACTCCTAGAGAGACTCAAGGTACCATATCCAGTGCTGCGGAGGGGACCGAGTCACCTGCAAGCCAAGGCAGGTACCTTACCTACTGTATTATTTCTTTGGAACCAATATCAGATTTTTTTTTAAAAAAAACAGCTTTTAACCATGTAAATAATGCAAGAACACATCCTAGAACTGAGTACTGACTGCTCCTACCCTACTACACACTGTTACTTTGTATGTCCCTTAACCTTTGGGTCCTTGAGTTTATCCCACAAGAAAACAGAGATCCAAGAAGCATCTATACCTCCATAAAGGGGTGAGAAATATCCAGTCCATATAAGGCCTATGAAATCATGTGGTCTGGCCCTAGAACATGACAGGAAAGACACCTATGTTTTTCATCAGCTGTCTGCCACCAATCTGCCAATATTGTATGCCTGCGAATGACGCTATATGTGCCAAAAGGCCCTTGGCAAAATAATAAATAATAATAATGATAATAATAATAATAATAAGGATCCCCATCCTTGGCCTATGGGTGTGAATGCATCTGCCAATTCACACAGGGCAGGGTTGCTAATGGCAGCCAGCCTGTGACCGAAGAGTTCCACTAGTTTCTCAAGCACTCCACCTCTGCTGCCTAATTTCTTCTCAAAAACTCTCATGTTTCCAGATTTTGGCTACTGTGCTACAATGAACGTAGGAGCGCAGATATCTTTCTAAATCGTACTTCTGGAATCTTGAGGTATATTCCAAGAAGTAGGATAACAACAGATAACTGGATAAAGAAACTATGATACATTTACACAATGGAATTCTACTCGGCCGTAAGAAAAGATAAAGGGATGGGGGGTGGGAGGGATGCTGGGACCATTGGTGGTGGAGAATGGGCACTGGTGGAGGGATGGGTACTCGATCATTGTATAACTGAAACCCAAGCACAAAAGTTTGTAAGTCTACAACTGTACCTCATGGTGTTTCACTAATAAAAATTTTTTAAAAAGAGAGAAAGAAAAGATAAAGTCATGCAACTTGCTGCTACGTGGATGGATCTGGAAAGTGTCGTGCTGAGTGATGTTAGTCGAGGAGGGAGAGAGGCACAGAATGACCTCTCTCAGATGTGAGATATAAAGAAAATCTGTAAGGGACGAACAAAGCCCCAAAGGCAGTAGAAATGAGGAGCAGGAGAACTGTTCTTCAGTAGGAACTTGGCACTGGAGTGGAGTTGAGGGTGGGAAGTTAGGGAAGAGAACATTAGGACAAGGATGGAAGGGGCAAGTGCCTTAGGGGCAGGCTGGGGGTGCAGGACAGGAGGGAAACTTGAGACACTGGTGCAGAGGAGGAGACACTGGGAAGGCACTGGTACTGAAAACTGTATGCCTGAAACTTCGCACTGTAGCACTGTCCTCCCGTTGTTCCTCAATTTGCTCGAGTGGGCATAAGCAATGTCTCCACTGTGAGACTTGTTACTGTGTTTGGCATATCGAGTACATCACGGGTAGCTTGCCAGGCTCTGTTGTGTGGGCAGGATACTCTCAGTAGCTTGCTGGGCTCTCCAAGAGGGACGGAGGAATCGAACCCGGGTCAACCACGTGCAAGGCAAACTCCCTACTCGCTGTGCTATCGCTCCAGCCTGATACTTACTAATGAATAACTCAGCAACTCTAATTCATGGTGATTACAAACATTTAAAAAAAGAAAAAGAATCCATGCATACCTCTTCTGAGATCAGGTTGAGCCACTCTTTCCGGACCACGTCGTTGTGATAGTGGAGGTGTGGCTCCGAGTACTTGACATATTCCATATTGGAGTTCAGTTTTTCCCAGTAGCCCTTAAAGCTGTGCACCTGAAAGAGACCCCCCAAACCCCAAAAAATGATGTGCTGGAGAAGCATCCCCTGTGGCCAAACTGTCCAGCAAGACCCACGGAATCCATACTGCCAAGCTGGGCTGGGCTGGCCTTTTCCCCCTGGTTTTTGTGTGACATTTTTGGTGAAGCAAAAATTTCCAAGAATGCACAGGAATTCTAAAATAGAAACGCTCAGAGCCTTATGTTCCCCACTCCCTTTGCGAGGGAGAATGCCAGGGTTCAGTTCACAAAGCCCGTGGGGCCTGCTGGGGTTAAGGCTAAGCGGGAAACCACTACTGATCATACCATTTCCTCCCCAGAGAGCCCTGTTGCTAAGACTGCATCTAGAATGCCAGGCTGAGAGAATGTGCACCAGATTTGGGAGAGGTGAGGAGGCTTATTTTCCCACCAAGCTTTTACTTCCAAAGATTATCTTTTCTCACAAAATCTAAGAATCAGGAAAGATGAAGTTTCACATTCCGTTGTCAAAACATTCTGAAACAGAAGTAGTGGCATCCTAAATCCTTCTTTTTGATTAAAAAAATGTATTTTTTATTTATTATAGTTCATGAGTTTACAACAGATTTAAAATGTATGGTATCTATATACAAGTTTACTGCTTTCCCCACCACCAGCAGCAAAGTGCCCACCACTGTCTTTCTCCACCACTGTCTTTACATCTCTCATAGGCTTCCTCCTCCTCCTGTCCCACTATCAAATGTTTGCCAATGTTTAGGACTGTCTATGTTCTTGTTTTGACTCTCAAATTTCAAGATGCAAGAGATCATCCTGTATTTGTCCTGACTTATTTTATTTACCATGATGCCCTCCAGCTTCATCCATGTTACTGCCAAACACATCATTTCTTTTTTATACTACATGCATTCCTTTGTGTACATAAACAACAACTTCTCGATCCATTCAACTGTTGTTGGTTATTTGCATTATTTTCTTACCTTGGCTACTATACTAAGTGCTGCAATGAACACACGTATGCATATCTCATTTAATTTGTTTTTTGAGGAATGGATGCTGATAAATGGAATTTCTGGCTATATGGGAACTCTAGTCTTTTGTTTTTGAAAAATATCCATACCCTAGTCCCATCTTTGAACTTGTGATATAATTATGCTCCTAAAGCAAGAACGACATACTCATTGGTAAATTTTAAAATAAAGTGAAGTATTATTATCTTTTTTTCTTATAATACAGTCTATTACCATAGTGAGTTTGAGCACACTTTGTTTTATGATCTTTATCAGATATTTATAAATGCATCTATTTTGACAGAAAAGTGTGTCATAAATTTGTCTTCACTGATTTGTTTCAGTCTCGAGGTCCAAGAAATAGTGCAGAGGATAAGAGAGGATAAGATGCTTGCATTGGATGCAGCCAGCCCAGGTTTGAGCCTCAGCACCACATAGGGTCTCCTGAGTATTTCCAGGAGTTATCCTTGAGCACAGAGCCAAGAGTCAACCCTGAGTCAGGTGTGGTCCCTCATCAGCCCCAAAAAGTTTCACATTAAATAAATAGTACACGATTGAAATTCTTACTGAAATCATAGTCACAATTTGTTTAACATGAATTTGGAGTATGAATAAATTACATAATATTAATTTGCTCTTTTAGAAGCCTGGAAGAACATAGTCCATCCAACATCCCTTCTACCAAAAACAGGAAAATCTGTTTCTGAGAAACTGTCATTTCTGGCGGAAATCAGAACAATAGCATCAGATTCCACTCTTCAATAAAGTGACTAGTTTATCATTTCTTTCCCTTTTGAACACAATGCACAATGAATGAGCTTGTATTGACCTGATGGTCTTCCTATTATTGGAAATTAATAATAATAATAACAACAACAACAACAATAGTAGTAGTAGTAATAATAACAGAAACAAACAGCTATTTGTCAATAATGACCCCTGAGATTAAGTCCCCAAGCTTTCCTGCCATTTATTTATTTATTTATTTATTTATTTTTATGTAGGAGTACTGGCTATTTATTCAGCCACTGATTAGCTGACTGAATGGGCATGAACTCCACTTTCCTGCCATTTAACGCTGGGTTCAGATGCACTAGAGCCGACTGCCAGTAAACAAATTGTGTTGTGGCGACATCTAGTGGTCGTTAATGTTGATGCGTTCAGCCAGTATTGTCACAGAATCCTCAGTCCCACAGACCCTGACTGACATGATACTGAGGAGGAGGAAGGGCAGGCCTACAACTTTCTAGTCTCTTCCTTTGAGACCAAATGCCACCCTCCTGTCAGAGGTCTCCCCTCACACACCAACACTAGCTCCGAAGAAAGGATTTTCCCCAAATTACCTTCCTTTCACACCATTATCCAAAAAATAATTTCATTCTCTTTTGCCAGCTGAGAATAAAGAGATAAAACAGGCCCAAGGACAGGCTTCTAAGGGGCTCCTGAGTATGTATAAATGGGCATGTGTGTTCATATCAGTGCTTTTCTAAGGAGGCTGAAACTTGTACCCAATTTTCAAAGAAATCTAGAACATAAAATAGTTCAAAACTGATGAGGTAGTAAAAGTATCTGGATTTTCTTTTAAATAATAAGATAACTTCCAGGACTGGAGAGAGAGTACAGTGGGTAAGGCACTTGCCTTACCTGTGGCCTACTGGGTTTGATCCCCAGCATACAATATGGTCCGCTGTACTATCCCAGGAGTGATACTTGAGTGCAGAGTCAGGAATGATCCCTGCGCATTGCTACATGTGGCACAAATAGCAAATAACTATGCAATTTAAATGTAAATAAGAGATAGTGGCTAGCCAAACATCCCAGAAGTATTTTCATATGAACTTTGAGGCCTTTTGAGAAGGCCACTAGCATGTTGTATACTATCAATGACCTGTGGTGCTACTTAGGTGTTTGCTATGTAAAAGATGTGGTTTTTTTGTTTTGTTTTAGGTGACGAGATCTCACAGAGATCATTGAAAAGTGGAAAGTCTATTTGGAAGTCTGAGAATCAGATGGGGCCTAGAGAATGATGGATTGAGTAAATGGAACCAATGGAAAGGAAGGATGTTCCAGGTGATTTCCTTGGGAAGTGAGCAAAGCACAGATCAGAGGCTGTGGATGCAGTTTGGAGTCACAGCATGAAATCAGAGAGAACCAACCAGGTTGAGGGAATCTGCATCTGGAACCTTATTCCTAACTCTCCACAACCTCCTGCATTCTGAATCCTGGAGATATCACTAGTGTGGGTATGACCTGAGCCAGGCGAGTCCCGGCAGCTGTCCAGTGATTCTCACAGACAAGCAGGGCTTTTGCTTGAACATGACCAGGTCATGCCAGTCTCTTCCCTGATCCCCCAGACCATTCCTCAGTCTTCACTTCCAGTTTACAGGCAACTGAGGAACCCACTGTCCAAAGGTCCATGATTATGCTGTTGAACCGCAGGGTTAAAGGGAGGTAAAAGCCAGAGCTGCAGAAGACTTTCAATGCCAACTTAACACTGTTCTGTTCCTAACCCCAGAGTGTATAAGAAAGGCACATATAAAGTTTAAGGTTGTATCACAGCATGGGGGAGTAGAAGCTACATGATCACATACTAAGAGTCAACCTAAGAGTTTAACATACTTGCTTGCATTCTCTTATCACGGTCACGGTCACGGTCCTCCCGTTGTTCATCGATTTGCTCAAGTGGGCCCAGTAATGTCTCCATCATGAGACTTGTTGTTACTGTGTTTGGCATACCGAATACATCATAGGTAGCTTGCCAGGCTGTGCCGTGCGGGCGAGATACTCTCGGTAGCTTGCCGGGCTCTCCGAGAGGGGCGAAGGAATCGAACTCGGGTCGGCCATGTTGGCCGCTTGTAAGGCAAACGCCCTACCTGCTGTGCTATCGCTCCAGCCCTACATATGGGCTTAAATGGCTCCAGAATGAAATACAACAACCTTCACACATTTCCCTCTTACTGTGGTGGGAAGATGCTCGCTGGTAGGGTGGGTGTTTGAATATTATCTGTAATGAACTATTGTGAACTATTTTATAAAAATAAAATGTATAAAAATCACAAAAAAAAGAGTTAACCTAAGAGTCAACCTAGATACTGAGAAAACCACTCTTCTCAGTCAACTAATGGAACTTAAGTACTTAGGGCACAAGATGAGAACCAAGTACTGTGCTCATTGGGGGTGACACCAGCAATACACAGTGAACGGCTTATCAGCCCAAGAAGTAAATCACCAGGCTACTTGGAAAGAGTTCAGAACCCTTAAAATGGCATACACACACATACACACACTCAAACACACACATATACACACACACTTTATGATACAATACCCATCTGCAACTAGTGGGCATTATGGTAGTAAGTCAGAAGAAGAAAAACAAATACCAAGAGTTCCACTCCTAATCATTCTATGGGGAAAGCAATCAAGGGAATGAACAGTGACCAGAGAAAACAAACCTCAGACTCTGACCACAGAACTGATGTTTCTAAGAATTGAAAAAAGAGAGAGTGTGTGAGAAAAGGGTCCAACAAACTAGTGGCTTTGGAAAATTAACCCTTGGGTATTAGGTATGGCAACGTAATACTTAACCCCTAAAACAAACATATACATGCTTGTAAACCTTTATCTCAATTTTTTTTAAAAAAATGACAACCCTGGTGTTATAAGTTATTAGATGAAAATATGACCTGGATCTTTTTCTTCAATTAAAAGAAAAAAAGGAATTTCAGATATTTTTTTGTGGAAAAAAAAACAAATTATTCCAAATGTTGTCCTAAAAATGGAATCTCATGTTGTTTCTTAGGATAACATGAAATAATTTATAAATGCAGCCTATCACAACTATAAAATGAACAAAAATACCCAACGGTTGTATTAAGGGTTTTTTCTTATTTAGGGTAAGAAAGGAAGGGAGGGAGAAAAGGGAAAATGGGAGGGAAAGAAAGAAAGAAAGAAAGAAAGGAGGGAGGGAGGAAGAAAGAAAGAAAGAAAGAAAGAAAGAAAGAAAGAAAGAAAGAGAGAGAGAGGGAGGGCTGGAGCAATAGCACAGTGGGTAGGGCGTTTGCCTTGCACGCGGCCTACCCAGGTTCAATTCCGAGCATCCCATATCGTCCCCTGAGCATCGCCAAGGGTAATTCCTGAGCGCAGAGCCAGGAGTAACCCCTGTGCATCGCTGGGTGTGACCCCAAAAAAAAAAAGAAAAAAGAAAGAAAAAGAGAGGGAAAGAAGGAGAGAGAGAGAGAGAGAGAGAGAGAGAGAGAGAGAGAGAGAAAGACAACTATGGTACTGGTTCATGTGCAAATTACTAACAGGAAAAAGCATCTGCCCATTCCCCAGAACCATGAGGAGGGATCCCTGAGCACCACTGGGTGTGGCCCAAGCACCTGACCCCCCAACCCAAATTTTCTTCATTAGCTTTTCATCTGTACAATAATCATATAATGGGTTTGGTAGGACTAGAATAGGAGCAGAAACAATAAAAAGAAAAATCAAAGGTTCTCTTCACAAAAGCCTTTGGAACTAATAATGACCCATTCCTTTTCCCCAGTCCTGCTGCCTTGGTGGGGGGGGGGGGGGGGGCGCTTCATGTTTGTCTCACATTTTGCCTAGAACACTGCTTATCAGTCCCTCCATACAAGACCCCTCTTAGGTACAAAAGTCAGAACCACTAGACCAGCCCCCATGGCCCCCTCATTCCCAGAGCATCCCTGCCCAACACCCACTGCTCTCCTGAGCTGCCCAAGCCTGCCCTGCCCGCTGAGGAGGCAAAAGAACCAAATGGAAATAAAAGGCAGCAGTACACTGATCAGCCTATTGCCAAAATCTCAGTTTTCCCAGCACACACCAAGCTATAATTAAGTGGGGGCCATTGCCAAGAACAACAAAAGAGCCCAATGAAAATGGTGCCTTAAAAATATCTCCCGTTTTTAACTACAGGCAGTCTTTGCTATTCCCCCTCAGCCCACCCCATTTGGCCCAAGGTCCTGAAGAAACTCTCATGACACCAGCAGAGTGAAGGGAAACACTCATGGCTGCAGCTCAGGGCCAGAGTAGAGTTGTAGAGACCGGACCAAGCTCCCACACAGCTCACTCGAGGGATGGAAAAGCTCTTCTCAGAACCAGAAGAAAATGACACAATCCTGGACTTGCTCACCTACTGGTTTTGAAATGTTCCCTGTGTCGATGCGTGTTTTGAGGAGGTGACAGCACACATGAAATAAAACAACAACAACAACAACAAAAATAGTTGTGAGGCCTTGGAAAATAGCTTACAGGTCTCCAGTCTGGAATGGCCTGAGGCACAGCAACAAGTTTCACCAGAGCTAGTTCTCTGTGGTTTCACACTGAGTGAGCCTGTAATTCTCTGTTCTCAGAAAACATCCTTTTTCAAAGTGCATGTCTAAGACTTGGCTTAATATCATCCTCAGTGACTATTCAGATACTTAGGAAGAATCTTCTAGAGAGTTAACTCTAGCCCTAACCTCCACCTCCCCGACAGTCTCTTCTGGAATCACCACAACACTTGGGGTTCCCTCAGCTCAATGTGGCGACCAGCCCGGGCATTTGTCTCTCACTGGAAGGAACTTACCTTCATAAGAGGCAATGCAATCTCTTCTGTCACAAGAGTTATTCCAGGAATTTCCTATCGGGGAAAACATACACACAACTGTTGGAAAAACATACACACAATTGTTGAGAAAACATACACTCAGCTGTTGAATGTATCAATTGCAACAGGCTCCAAGCTTCAGGAAGAGTTTCTTTATACAGAAGCAGAGGACAGCTTAATGTGTACCAGCATCTACTTTACTTAAAATATTATAGTGAATTACAATGTTACAGAGTTAATCATGATTGAGTTTCAGGTGTACAATGTTCCAACACCAATCACTTCACCAGAGTCCACATCCCCATGCCAATATTCCCAGTTTCCTCTTGCCCCACAGCCTGCTTCTACAGCAGGCACTTTCTTCTTTTATCCTTTTAGGCACTGTGGTTTATAGTACTGTTATGGCTAGGGTATCATGCATGTCACTTTACCTCCTAGAGTAACCACTTCCCTCTATCGTTGCCGTAGTGGTCCCTTCCCTGACCTCTCCCCGCTCCCCACCTAGTGGCAGGACTCCTACTAAAGGCAAGTTCCCCTGCTCTTCAGCACTATTGCCCATGGGCATTAGTTATTCCCCTACTATGTCTCTTTATATCCTACATATAAGTAAGATCGTTCTGTGTCAGTCAGTTTTAAACAGGGGGCTGGGGCCGAAGACAATACAGTGGGTACAGCACTTGTTTGACCACCGGCACCTCATATGGTTCCCAAAGCACTGCCAGGAAAAATCCCTAAGCAAAGAGTTAGGAGTAAGCTCTAAGTACAGCCAGGTGTGCCCCCACACCCCCCCCCAAAAAAAGAGGGAGGGAGGGAGGGAGGGAGATAAAACAAGTAGTGTTCCAGAGATATTGGTCAAACAGCTGCATACACACGTTGCATGAGGGAGGCCTGGGTCTGATTCCTGACACTGAAGGTCCCCTGAGCCTGAGTACCACCACAAGCAAATCCAACCACAGAGCTGGAAGTAACCACTGCAGCTGGGTGTGGTTCCAAAACAAAAACCAATCAAAAATTTTTTTTAAAAAATGACAGTAAACACAAATTATTCCCTCAAGAAGATAAATATCTTTTAGAGTCTCTTCTAAAAAGGATTAAAATATCTGAAAAGGTACAGAGCAAAGAGCATACTATGAATATATTTCAGTCCAAAAGAGGCAAATTACATTTGCATTATTACATATGACAGATATATATATATATATATATATATATATATATATATATATAGTCCCTTTCTATATTCCCTCTTCCTCCTCTTCTTCTCTTGCATTTAGAGGTATTATAGTTGGCCCTGGTCTCACTAGAAGTAATCAACATTTATGGGATTCTTGTATGACTTCAGTGAAAATATTTTCCTCCACCAAGTTTCCAGAGATGAGTCTTTTTAGGAATTAAAGCACGACCAGAGTGACATTAAGGGGTTAAGGCACTTAACTTGCACATGGCCAACCCTGGCCAATCCCGTGTACTGCATATGATCACCCTGTGTGACCCTTGAGAACCTAAAGATGTGGACCAACTCCCAACAACTCCAACTCCCTCACTGCGCCAACAAAAGAATGTAAGCAGTACTTTGCCACAAGGTAAAGGGGAAAGACATGCCATTTATATCAGGAGGTCTAAAGTTCTAAATAGTTATAAAAAAATGGAAAAATGGGAACAATTATGGCAGGAAGGTGACTTGGGTGGTGAGATTGGTATTGGAACATTGAAAGCCCATAATTGTATTATGGACAACTTTGTAAACCAGAGTGTTTAAATAATTTTTTTTTCAAAGTTGAGTTTTTAAAGGACACTGACACTAAACCTAAGGGGAAGAAAAAGAGGGGTCTGGAGATAGAATGAGGGTGTGAATACAAATAAAACTTTGACTTAGAGACCAGAGAGATAGTATGTGGGTAGGTCACTTGTCTTGCAAGCTGCAGACCTAGATTTGATCCCTGGCATCTCATATGGTCCCCTAAGCCTGAGCAAGCCTGAGCACAGAGCCAAGAGTAAGTCCTGAGCACTGCTGGTTATGGCCCATAAATAAAAAAAAATTTTTTTGACTTAAAGATACACTCCTGCTAAGAGTAAATATTAAAACATAATTTTAAATAATAGAAATAAGTTTAAAAACAAATTTAGTAAAATGGCCCCAAATACCTTTTATTCATTATTGTTTTTAAAAGTGTATTTCTACATTAATTATGTTGTCTCTCAATTAGTCAATTCATTTTACATTTCCTCAAAACAAAAAAAAATTAGAAAGTGCTATGAAGAAATAAGATCTGGTATTTGTTTAGAAGTTAAATGTCCTAGGCTGGATCATATACAATATTCCTGTAAAAAGGAGCATCACAATTTTGGGGAAATGAATTTTCAGAACATTCAAGCATTTGAGTTCTCCATTGTGACAGCAGAAAGTCTGTGATAAGAACCTAGTATTTGCTTTATTCATAACAGAGCTCATGTCAAAAAGAAAAGGAAAGGCATTAAAATATCACTTTAGCTTTACGCTTTGAAGAACACCATCTTAAAATAAGTATAAGAAGGCTACTGCAGGGGCTGGAGCGATAGCACAGCAGGTATGGTGATTGCCTTGCACGCGGCTGACCCAGGTTCGATTCCCAGCATCCCATATGGTCCCCCAGCACCACCACCAGGAGTAATTCCTGAGTGCAGAGCCAGGAGTAAACCCTGTAAACCCTGAGCATCACTGGGTGTGACCCAAAAAGCAAAAAAAAAAATAAAAAAGAAGAAGAAGGCTATTACAAAGTACAGTACAATATTACTTACATGCACAAGTCCTATGTTCCCTAAAATATTTTTTAAAAATCTAGTCACTTACAGAAATAATCTCTGTGCAGAAGTGTGAAACTCCTATTTCCAACTGTGGTACGTGCTGACTAAGTAGATAGCATTAAGAGTAGATAGCATTAAGGGCACTCACAGATTAGAAGAGAGGAAAAGTAAATAATTTATATCATTGCTAAAGATAAGCTAAGACTCATAGGATTGTAGGATTAGAAAAGACTATGAAGATAACTCTAGCCACAAAAAGTTTAAAGTAAGGTGGTTAACCCTTGGGCAGTTCAGCAGCGGTAGGAGGTTTTCATACTGTCTCTAGGACTTCCTGGTGTCAATGGTGTCACTCTACAGACCACCCCACTACCACCACCACCACCTCAGCTACTGTACCCCCAAGTCATGAGAAATGCAATAGTGAAGAACTGCCATCAAGAGGATATTCCTGGACATCCATAAACTCATGTTCTGTCTAAAATTGTGTTCCATCCCAACACAACCCTGGGAACTACGGGGTGCACCTTCCCGGGGGGTGGGGGGGGCGGCGGAGAAGACAACACTCACAGCAGGGGGGGTGGTTAGGGGAGGAAGCCAAGCATTTCCTGAGTCCAGACTGCTGAACCTGCAAACTTCCGGCCACATTACCACCACAGTCTGTACTTGACATTCATAGCGGGCCTCAAAGGAAAAAAAGCAGGTCTGAGAGGGGACAAGCTCAGATCTTTGCCTTGTAACTCTACAGTGTTTGATAACAGTGAAAACAAACAAACTAAAAAACCTTGGAGGAAATGTTCTCACTGTGTACACAAAAAATTTAGAGAAGTCAGAGTGATGGTACCTGGGTTAAGGCACTTGCTTTGAAAAGAGCTGAACCTGGTTGGATCCCTGACACCATATCCAGACCCTCCAGCCATACCAAGAGTGATCCCTGAGCACAGAGGCATGAGTAAGCCTTGAGCACAACCAGGTATGGCCTCCTGGCTACAAAAAAAAAAAATCAGAAATTAGACACATCGAATGTGCCCTTTTTTAGGACTCTGCATAACTTAAGTACAGAATTGGGAAGCATCAGAATATCCTAGTTCCAATTTTTCAACATCTGCATTTGTGATTTAATTTTTTTTTCTCAAGGCCTTCTGGATAACAAATCCACTAGGCCAAGTATATAGCTCTATCACACAAAAATGAGAAGTTAAGAGACAGAACCATTTCTGAGAATAAATTGTACATAGTTCCCATTTTCTGATCCAATAAGGTTCAGTTTATTATGCCACATTCAAGAAAAATAACCAATGTGGGGCCAGGAAGATAGAACAGTGGTTAGGGCATGAGTCTTGCGAGCTCCCAGCAAAGGTTTGATCCCCGCCACCACTTGGTGTCCTGAGCGTCACTGGAGGCAGCCCTGGGGACTGCAAGCACCTAAAGGGAAGCCCTAGTGATCTAGGTACCACAAGGCCTAAGCAGTATTAAACTTTCAGGCCTTCACATGGGCTTGCTCAGCTAGTTGGCAGAGTTTTGTCAGGAGAGGCTCCCAAGCATCCTGAGTACCATCTGGAGGGTCAACCCCCCCAAAGAAAGGTAAATGAATAAAGATTTAGCTTGGCACTTCCCAATATGAAAGAAGAAACTCTAGGGCCAAAGAGATAGCCCAATGAGCAGGAATTCATGCTTTGGCTGATGAGCTGATGAATGTTTCTCCCTGAGCATTGCCTAGTGTGATCTTGAGCACTGAGCTAGAAGTTACCCAAAAGGATGATGGATATAAACAAAAATAAAAAACAAACAGGAAAAAAGGAAAAATAAAGAAAGGAAAGAAAGAAAGGCCTCCTGACCATGGAAAGAAATCTTTGAGTGGAATAGGTCTGCTGAGGATAAGAGACTTTTACTGAGCTAAAATCTCTGACTATACATTTCCTTTAAGGCTGGGAAATGAGTGATGAAGGTGCTAAACTACTAAACAGGCAGAAAGCCATAACAGCGGTGAGCCTGTCAGTCCTCATCTATAAACACTTCGAAATCACCCACCCTATACTCTAAACAAAAACAAATTCCTTAGAGGCTTAGTTATGCTTGATAGCAAGGACAAGTGGAAGACATTCTCTACTTTAACTCTTCCCTGTTACATAAAAACCTTGGCCAACAGCAAGCACACACGACTATTTTTTATGGTGAAGAACTTATACTTAAGATTAGACAGCTGGACAGTTTAGATGATCCCAATGTTGCTGGCAACTTCCCAGGCATCATAGTCAGGAGTGAGGGAACATGTGCCTCCTTTTCTCCATCAGGCCTAACCAGGGTGCTGATTGTGGCCACATCAGTGTCAGGGAGCTGCTTCACGGTCTGTTAAATCTGATGCTTGTTGGCCTCAACCTCCACAGCAAACACAAGTGTCTTGTTATCTTCTGTCTTCTTCCTGGCTAACTCAGTGGTCAGAGGGAACTTGATGATGGCAAACCTGTTTCTCCTGAGGGCACTCTTCTTAGTCTATCTAGGCTGCCTTTTCAGTGCAGCATTTTGGGTCTTTGGAAGATGGATGAAGTGCAGATCTTCTTTCTGTGGTTTTAGACACTTTTCAGCGCTGCTTTCTCGGCCTTCAAAGCTTTGGCTTCAACTTTGGAAAGGGCAGCGGCTTCTATTTCTTGGCTTTCAGCATCTGTAGCTCTGTAGCACTGTCCTCCCATTGTTCATTGATTTGCTCGAGTGGGCACCAGTCACGTCTCCGTTGTGAGACTTGTTGTTACTATTTTTGGCATATTGAATATGCCATGGCTAGCTTGCCGGGCTCTGCCGTGCGGGCGGGATACTTTCAGTAGCTTGCTAGGCTCTCCAAGAGGGACGGAGGAATCGAACCTGGGTCAGCTGCATGCAAGGCAAACGCCCTACCCGCTGTGCTATTGCTCCAGTATCAGCATCATCTCAGTAAAAGTTTTTATTTTTCTATTTTCTTTTCAACCAGAAACTTCAACTCAGTTTCTTATCATCCAAGGCAGACATGATATAAAAACCTGATAACTGTGACAGGGATCTCTCAAAACTGCCCCACAGCTGGGAATCACTCTCTATCTCCTGAGGAATACAAAGTTGACTTACTGTATTCCACATGAGCATGGAGGAATACGGCAACAGCTGGTCCAGGTTACTGGTCTCTAGATAAATGCTCCAGTAGGAAGATGCTAGTAGATTTTTTGAAAGAGAAAAAAAATTACATAAAATTGAAACATTCTTTAAAAGAATAAGGTAGGCTTTTTCAATAGACCAAAATAAACAACCAAAGTTTTCACTACCTTCACTTTCATCCTCAAAGACTGATTATTATGACTCTATCTGCTGATTAAAATGCCTGGGTTCTACCTTTTTACATGGGAAATTATTTTAAATATTTTATTTGGAAGTTACATCTATTCAAGTGATAGTGTACTACTTCACACAGAACCAATTGGCACAAAAAGGAGGTAAGAAAGTTACACCTTAAAGGAAGGAAAAAATCACTAATAAGGTTATAGAATCATGATTATATCTAATCTCATCAGTCTCTGAACAGTCACAGCTTCTCACAAAACCACAAGAGAATGAAATTTAATTAGCTGCTGACTGTGAAAGAAAGAGAGAAAAACAAAACAAAAACCTCCTATGCAGCATGTTGACAGATTGAGGCATTATCAATTTACGGCTTTCCCTCAAGCAAGAGTCAAAGATTCAACTTAACATGCTACATCAGCAACACCTACCAATTATGAATTCCTGAAGGAGGTCGAAGGAATGGCAGACAGAGACGTTCTCAGAAATCCACCGGACGATCTTTAAAAGGTAAGAAGACAATACTGTGCACATTTAAATCTATACCCAGCCCCCTTTACCAAAGAAAACCTTGAATCTTTCTCATTCTAGATCTGTTTTGAAATGCCTAAGACTACACTGTGAAATTATCTTCAAGTTACATAATATAAGACGGAGTGCATGCAAACACTACTTTAATTGAGGTCCTTTTTATTCTTTACATCTGAGTGCCATTGGCTGGAATGCAAATAAGCCTTCTCCAACTTGTTTGTTCACATTGGAGTGGGTCTTATTACAGCAAAGTACCAGAGTGAAGAGTTACAGGGATACAAAACAAAACCTGCTTCCTATCTATCTCTGCAGCTACCTCAATAGCTTCCCTCCCCAGCCTCGCCACTAGAGGCATGCAGCACCCCATTCCTGTCATAGAATCCACACACTTTCAGGCTTAACCAGCCTGTGAATGTTCAGATTTGTTCTGGTAACAACTTGTTTTTCTTTCCAAACCTTTTCCTGCTAGCTGTATTTATTTTCACAATTAGGTCACTCAATAAAGTATTACTAAAGACCAACAAAACATGGGTGTGAAAAGTGTTGTTGGGACAACCAAAGTTGATGCTTCAAGAAATGGAAAGATCTCTCTCAAACAATTACTGGGTTGTTGAGACTGCTCAATGAGTCCCACGTTTGATCCTGGCACCACAAGCTCCACTCCAGAGGACCTCTGGGTAGTGCCCTCCCCTACAAAGCTAAAACACTAAGGAACTAAGTGTAGGTGAACAGATGAAATAATTACAAATGACTGAAAAACATTGACTAACATACATATATTGCTTTGAAATTACTGATCTCATGAAAAACGAAATACAAAGAACATAACAGGAACTCAGAGATAGCAAAATTCTCATGGTTTTATGGAAGGAAAACTATTTTTAACTTCAATTAGCTGATATGAAAAGCATTCTTGAGTTATATCAAATGGTATCTGACAAAACATGTATGTGTGTTTTAGCTTAAAATTGTGTATCAGTTATCTTATTTAAAATAAACACTCATTTGCCCCAGGTCTAACTGGTGTGTGTGTGTGTGTGTAGTGTTGGAAGAGGTTTAAAATTAAAAGCCAAAGAGATAGTACAGGGGTTAAGGAACTTGCTTTGCATACAACTATCCCTGTTTCAATTTCTGGCTGCATAAAGCCCTTTCAGAAGTCCTGAGCACAGAACCAGGAGTAAGCCCTTAGCACCACCAGCTTTGGCCCAAACCCTGCCCCCCCCCAAAAAAAAATATATATATATATATCTCAACATAATTCAAATGATGGATCAGGTACATGGCTCTGGCAGTACAGCACACTCCTTGCAAGTGAGGCTCTGGGCTCAATCCTCCTCATGGCCCCACAAGCAACACTAGCTGTGCCCTGGTGACCTCAAGCATCACTGGCTGTGGTCCTATAACAATTTTTTTAAATCCCTAAATGAAATGGAGAAATGTGTGAAAAAAATTTGTAAGCTATAGTGTGTGATATAAATGTATAGTTTTCTTTATTGAAAATGTCATAAATATATGCTACCAGTTTGGGGGTTTGTGTGTGGTGGTTTGTTTGTTTGTTTGTTTGTTAGTTTGTTTGTTTTTCTGGGTGAAAAATAACAAGTTCAGATCAAGGGGAAATATTGATGATTTAAGCAGATATCTACTAAGCACTTTCTTGAAATGTTACTGATAGAGCTAAATATTCATTTACAATATGGAGATGAAAGTTCTCAAAGGAAAAGAACAGTCACTGTCTGAGGTCCAGTTGGTATCCATTAAAAAAAAAAAAACAGGCCAGAGAAGAACATGTTCAAGTCAGAACAGACATCATAAACCTCAATCAAATCCTACCAAATAAAAGTAGCTTCTGTTCATTTTCAATAACTAATTAAATACAGATGTCACTGTCTATTTGCCAAGTGTTTCTTTATGATGTTTTATTTTGGGGCTTCCTCACCAGTGCTCAGGGGTCCTTCCAAGGAGACTCAACCCCTAGGGCCAGGGCTGAAATGTTGCTCCAGCTCTGTGGTGCTGTGGGCCCCCACGGCAACCCAAGGGATCTGCAAAGACCCACATTCTGCATTCCTGTGGGCAGGGGTGTGGAGAGGGGACATGCTATGGTGCCAAGGATCAAACTTGAGACCTCAAGTATGCAAAAGCATATGCTCTACATTCTGAACTCCCTCCTCAGCTCCTGCATAATTTTCCAACATCAGCCATAGCCCCACCTTGGTTTCGAGGAGCTGTGCATCTCGGCCACAGGAGAGCACACAGTGCAACGTGGCCATCTTCTCACAGTCGAGCTGAGCATTCCATAGGAATTGTAATAAATATGACTGATCGAGCAGCACCCTACAGAGCTTTCCAGCAGAGCAATCCAAGATCAGGGACGTTGACAGGGACTGTAAAAAACTATGAGGTAACTTATCAATCACAGCATTATTTCCTGGCCAAAAACAAAGATAAGACAAAAAATCAGCAAATAGAAAGAACACACCCCTCCCCGCCCACCCACCCATAGAAACTAAAGTCAAAACAAATCCAAGCAGATCGCATTCCTGGGGGGAAACCACAGCCATACCTGTCAGAAACAGACTGTGGCAGACCAGGTCTGGATGCTGAATGTTAAGTAGATGAAAGAAATGACCAGGTAAGTAAACCGCCACATAATAGTCTGTGGAAGAAAAAGACTGAAGTCATTTCCAAGGGGAAATGGAAGTGCTATCCAAGTGCAGGTAAAGCCTGGAACATCACAGAAGCCCTGCTTCTCTGACCCTTTTAAAATACAAAAGTTTTTTACAATAATCAGCATTAAGATGCCTTTTTCATCTTCTTAGCCAGATCTCATATATTTCTGACCATGTTAGTTTTTACCATATATTTGGCCATAATTAAAATTTATGGCTATGGTTTCTTTCTAATGGATGGTGACTTTATATAAATCTAAATGATCTCTAAGAGCCAATGACAAAAAAAAAATCAAGAAACATATCATTCCTTAATCTGACAGGCTGGGAAAAGCTCCTATTGGGGCTTTTCTTCCTCCTTCCTGCTAATTTGGGGAACTCCCTTCATTTCCCCAATTTGTTCACCATTGTTAACATCATAGTCCATCATCATCATCACTGTTGCCATCATCATCCTCATTTTGTTTATGGAAATTTCCAACTGATATTCATCAGGACTATCCCTAGAGGCATCCCAGCGCTCTGTGGAGCACTGATTTATTCCCTCACAAACCAAGCTGCCAAACTTCACACCTTCACAGTCTCTGCACTAGTTTTGTAGCAAGAACGTTTGTACACATATTGAGCAAAAGTGTGAAAAGCAGTTTTCTGGAGAATGAGCATAGAGTAGCTCTTATCATTAATATTTCCACAATCTTCGAAAAACAGACTTCCACCTGATAGCAGTGAGTATCATAAGGATGAGACATTTAGACTGCGAGTCAGGCAGTCTTTTTATTTTCCCCCAAGAAGAAATACATACTAATAATAGGTATTCTGACGAGAGGGGAGTAAGAGGGGAAAGCAATGAGGTAAAAGTTGTACTTTCAGTTGTACCGAGTTTTAAATCATGCAAAAGAGCAGAGTTCAACTGTTTGCAATGTTATTACAACATTTAAGTGGAGAAGTATGAACAACCTCCTAATTGAGCAAAATAGTATCATTTTAGCCATCAAATAACCTAGATTCACTCCTACTCCCATCCTTTAAACAGCTGCGGAAGGTAGAACCATAGACTTGAGAGATGCATTTAGAGCATCTAAGGGTGTTTCAGATTACCACAATCACTGAAGCAGTAAGGAAGGAGGGGGCTCCTGTCTTCTGGTGAGTCTGGGCATGTTAAATCGCTCATGTACCAGATACCTCACATGAAGTACTCTCACCTCTTACTAAAGTTATCCATCACAGAGGCAGAGTGACGGCTAAAACATTCCTGTGCTTACACAGAGGAAAATGTAGGCAGAAGCCTCCATGACATTGAAGCTAAAATCATCTTTAAGGATGAAACACCAATGACCAAGCAAATGGAAACAAACATAAACAAATGGGACTACACTAAACTCTGAAGCTTCCGCACCTCAAAAGAAACAGTGAGCAAAATACAGAGAGAGCACACAGAATGGGAAAAAATATTTACCCAATACCTATCTGATAAGGAGTTAATATCCAGGAAATACAAGACACTAGTAGAATTGTACAAGAAAAAAAACCTTCAACCCCGTCAAAAAAATGGGGAGAAGAAATCAACAGAAGCTTCCTCAAAAAAGAAATACAAATGGACAAAAGGCACATGAAAAAATGCTCTACATCACAATCAAAACAACAATGAGATGTCATCTTACACCACAGAGACTAGCACACATCAAAAAGAACAACCAGTGCTGGCGTGAATGTGGGAATAAAGGGACTCTCTTTCGTTGTTGGTGGGGATGCCGACTAGTTTGAAAACAATATGGGCATTCCTTCAAAAACTTGAAATTTAGCTTCTATATGACCCTGCAATACCACTTCTGGGACTATATCCCAAGGGAGCAAAAAAGCACAGTAGAAATGACATCTGCACCTATAAGTTCATTGCAGCACTGTTCACAGTAGCCAGAATCTGGAAACAACCCGAGCGTGGGAGAACAGACGACTGGTTAAAGAAACTTTGGTACATCTACACAATGGAATACCATTCAGCTATTAGGAAAGATGGAAGTCATTAAATTTGCTTGTAAGTGGATATTTATGGAGAGTATCATGCTAAATGAAATGAGTCATAAAGAGAGGGACAGACATAAAATTACTACACTCATTTGCGGAATATAAAACAACATAATAGGAGACTAACACCCAAGTGCAGTAGAGACAGGGGCCAGTGATATTGCTCCATGGTTGAATGCCTGCCTCATGAGCTGGGAGAGAAAGCAGCTGGGATAGAGATGTGATCATTAAGGCAATGATGGTCGGAGGGATCGTTTAGGATGGGAGATGTGTGCTGAAAGTAGATCAAGGACCAAATATGATAGCCTCTCATTATCTGTACTGCAAACCATAATGCCCAAAAGTAGAGAGTATGGGGCAAATTGTCTGCCATAGAGGCAGGGGAGGGGCGGGGCATGGGGATACTGAGGACATTGGTGGCGTAAATGTGCACTGATGGAGGGATAGGTGTTTGATCATTGTATGACTGAAACTCAAACATGAAAGCTTTGGGGCTGGAGCAGTAGTACAACGGGTAGAGCATTTGCCTTGCACTCGGCTGACCCGGATTCTATTCCCAGCATCCCATATGGTCCCCTGAGCACTGCCAGGAGTAATTCCTGTGTGCAAAGCCAGCTATGCATCGCTGGGTGTGACCCAAAAAGAAACCCAAGCACAAGAATTTGTAAGTATACAACTGTACCTCATGGTGTTTCACTAATAAAAATTAAAAAATAAAAGAATCTTAAAATGGGAGAGAATTTTGGATTGTCCAGGTGGACTTGATTTAATCACAAGTGTCTTTGAAGAGGCAGATGGAGATTTGAGCCTGAAGATGAAAAGGGAAACAAGGGAACAAAAGAGATGAGACTGATGTGATCACAAGCCAAGAAATACTAGTCTCCAGGAGCTAGAGAAGGCAAAGAATGAATTCTGCCCTGGAAACACCACAATCCTACCCCTATCCTGAGTTTTGTCTGAGATGCAAATTTGTGGTGATTATTAAGGTGGCAATAGGAGAAAAATTGAATACTCCTGACAGGATATACTAAAAGAAAAGTGGGCACCCACCTCATTATTTCTGATTCTCAGTTTAATTATCTCTTAAATGGGGCTATCAGCAAGAAGAGTTGGAAAGATCAAGAGAAGTGAAGTACTTTTATTAGAACATAGCATTCATTGAATATGTTAGTTTCTGGATATGGGTTTGTAGCTCAGCTGTACAATAATTAACTTGCAAGTGTGGGGCCCTGGGTTTACTCCATGGCACCATGCCCAAAAAGGGTAGCTTTTTTAAAGCAAATCTTTCTTATCTAAAGAAATTTGGTTTTATGGAAAATTTCCTCAAAACTCTCTTCTTTGGTATTTCAGCCACTATTATGTCCTTTTTAAAAGGGAAATTGCGTGCAACTCCTAGCAAAAACAACACACCAAAACAATACTCAAAAATGCAATGTCATTATCAAAAATGACCTAAAATAGTTTTAACCTTAGATATAGTTTTGTGCCTGGAAATAAAAATATGTTTAAGAAGGAAAGATGAATTATATAAGATGATCTGTTTTAACAAAGCCCAAACTAGGATTATGGCCTTTCCATACTTTGAAGACCGTAGATTAGATCAGGCCTACCCTTTCCAAGATACATTCCCAGGCATTTTTTAAAAAGTAAGGTCTATCTTTGACTTCATAAATGTTTTCTTTAGTGGAAAGTTTCCCACATCATTCTTGAGATGAGATATTGATAGAGGACTGATGATAAGAATCGAGTTCCAGACCCAGGAAACCTATTATACTATTACTCTTATACTAGGAGTAATTTCTCATAGGTTCAGGACTCACATTAAAATTTGCCATGTGCTCAAAATCCTCTATGACATTGAAGCTAATGGTATCTTCAAAGATGTCACGCCACTGGCCAAGCAAGTGAAAACAGAGATAGACAAATGGGACTATCTTAAACTAAGAAGCTTCTGTACCTCAAAAGAAACAGTGACCAAAATACAAAGACAGTCTACAGAATGGGAAAGAATATTTGCCAAATACACATCCGACAAGGGGTTGATATCAAGGATATACAAAGTGCTGATTGAACTCCACAAGAAGAAAACAACCAAACCCCATCAAAAAATGGGGCAATGAAATGAACAGAAACTTTCTCAAAGAAGAAATCCAAATGGCTAAAAGGCACAAAAGAAAATGCTCCACATCATTAATCATCAGGGAGATGCAGATCAAAACCACAATGAGATATCATTTCACACCACAAAGACTGGCCCACATCCACAAGAACAAAAGCAACCAGTGCTGGCGCGGTTCAGCCCTTTTGGAAAACAGTATGGACGATTCTCAAAAAATTAGAAATTGAGCTCCCATTTGACCCAGCAATACCACTCCTGGGAATATATCCCAGAGAAGCAAAAAAGTATAGTCAAAGTGACATCTGCACTTGTTTGTTCATTGCAGCACCCTTTACAATAGCTAGAATCTGGAAAAAACCTGAGTGCCCGAGAACAGACGACTGGTTAAAGAAACTTTGGTACATTTACACAATGGAGTACTATGGAGTGGTTAGAAAAGATGAAGTCATGAAATTTACATACAAGTGGTACTACATGGAAAGTATCATGTTAAGCGAAATGAGCCAGAAAGAGAGGGATAGACATAGAAAGATTGCATTCATCTGGGGAACATAAAGTAACAAAATAGGAGACTAACACCCAAGAATGGCCGAGATTAGTACCAGGAATTTTGCTCCATGGCTTGTAGGCCAGCCACACATGCTAGGGGAAAAGGGAGCTCAGATAGAGAAGGGAGCACCAAATAAAGGGTTTTGGGAGGATCCTCCCAGGACGGGAGAAGCATGCTGAAAGTAGACTATAGACCAAACATGATTGCCACTCAATGCCTCTTTTGCAAACCACAACATACAAAAGGAGAGAGAGAAGAGAGGATAATGCCCTGCGACAGAGGCAGGGTGGGATTGGGGGGGATGGGGGGTAGGAGGGATACTGGGATCCGTGGTGATGGGAAATGGGCACTGGGGGAGTGATGAGTATTTGATTACTGTATAATTGAAACCCAAGCACAAAATTTGTAAGTCTACAACTGTACCTCATGGTGTCTCACTAATGAAAAAAAATTGCCAAGTGCTGGTTTTCTTGGTATAAGATATCTCACCTCATAAAGAACATCATTCAAAAATAGTTATTTAATAAACTATCATTTGGGATCTCAGTTTGCTTAGCTTCCTCAGATCACTTTATTCATAGCAACTTTTCTTTCTTTCCTCTTTTTTTCATGAGGAGGGAATTGTTTGGGTCCATACCTTATGGAATTCAGAGCTTACTCCTGGCTCTGAGCTCAGGGACCACTGCTGGCAGGGCTCAGGGAACCATATGCGGTGCCAGGAACTGAACCCACATCAGCCATACGCAAGGCATGCACTTTACCTGAATATCCTCTCCAACTTTTCTTTTTAAAGATATTTTGCCTGCCCCATATGTAGGTAAGCAACTATTTTATTGTTGATTCTTGTGCTAACCTGTCTGTGCTTTACATGCCAATTAGCCCTGCAAAGCAGCTTTCAGGAGTTACAATAAACCCCTTCTTTATTTTCTTTCTCAGAGGCCCTTGATATGCTCAAACTTAATACTCAAGTGCCCTTAAATCATATTTACTCAATGAAAAAACTCACTCAAGCTAATCCAATAAATCATTTATGGGAGTTGGAAGCTTTTAGCAATTAGCAATGGAGAATGGACAATTTCCCAATGGCCTTTGTGCTCTCTGCAAACAAAGAGTAACACGGTACATTATTTCTGCTATGTTATGAAGTATCTCATTCACTGTCATCATTTTTTCACCAGTAAATGCTTGTTTAGGATTACTAATAAACCATATGAAAACTCCCTGTGTTGGTTCTCTACACAGAGAGATAAATCTCCCCACACTCATCAAAGGCTGATAGAGTGGGAGGTGGTGCTTCTAGAGAAAATCTTTCCTTGTCAGACTTGAATTTCCCCACAATTTGAGTCCCAAGAGGCATGAGAAAATGGGGTGGTCAGAGAAAAAAGTGAGCTATAAAAGGCTGCAGTGTGCTATGAATCAGAAGCAAGAAATGCCTTTCTCTCACTCACCAAGATTGAGAAAAGTAATGCCCTTTGTCACCTGTGAGTCAGCATTCCCAAGAGCCACTGTGAAGGTCCTACTATGCCCTGTGGAACAAGAACATTACGTCAGGAAAAGGAGGTTAAGAAACCAAGCTGGAATTTCACCCAAAGCAATGACTATATAATACTGTCAGTTTTACTAGTTATGAACCAACAAAGCAAGCAACAAAGCAATGGGACTTGCTGATTTCATGGTTCTCCAAAAGTTTCCAAAAGCCAGCATCAAAAGTGGATTGCTTTGAATGGATCAGATATTTTTATACAATCAGAGATTTTAACATTTTTTTAGGTTGTGCTGGGAGGGAAGAATTTGAGGGAAACTACTTGAGGACTGAAGCAATGGAGTCAGCTGAGTCACTGATCTTTAAACTTTAAGGCTCACTGCTACACTCTTGTCATCATTAACACTCTGAGTCTTCCAAAGTCTACCTTTAGAGTTAGAAAGAGGATTAGACCATCAATTAAACTCTCTCCTAGGCTTCCCTCTCCACTTTTCTAACTCTTAATCTTCAGAAAAGTTTTATTTACTCATTTTAATCATTAGAAAACCAGGTGAAGACTTTCCACAAAATCCCAAACCTAGACATTAAAACATGGTAGGTGTCTAGCCTTTTCTGTTTTGGTGTTTGGTCCTTATCCATTGGTGTGCTTTGGCCAAATAAAGTTATTGGAAGATAATATTTTGCCATTGTTTAGTAAAATTAATGCACAAGTGAAAATACATAAGAATAAATGAAAAGTACCTTTATGAAAGTAAAATAATGAATACGTGATTTGTTCCCAAGAGTCAAACTTTGGGCTGTAACATACACATAAACTTCCTAGAAGAAAAAGGCAATTAATTAATGCAGTTTAAAAGAATCATAGACAAATATATTTTCTAAGTCATTTAATCTTCCATCTATTCCTCTAATGACCCACCTGGGTCATTTTATTCCAGGGTCCAGAGATACAAAATAGCATAAGTGGGGACCACAGTATGAGACTAGTAGAAAGCCAATGGATGGGGTAGAGGGACCACAGGAAAAATAGGTCAGAAGGGGGCCATGATTGATTAAATATGGAGAAACACTGTTTTTGATATCCTGGCTCATCTTACTTTATAGCTCATTTCTATTTGGAAATGATCTATTGACTAACTGCTAAGAAATTTTAGTTCCACAACTACTCAGAACACACAATTAGCTACCTATTGTGATATATCACTGAAGGACAGGACTATGAACAGAACCACACTCCTCTGTATGAAATTGTGCGAGTCTAGACAAGACCCTAAAAATCCAAGCATGTCTCCTGCTATATAATATATGCAGCTACAGGAGATCGTGCTATAGTATACCCTCTTACCTAGCTTGGTAATTACTAATACTTATAAACTCTAGTTTGTGAGGAGGAGAAAAGTCTTCTCTTACAGAAATTTTCCAATATTGTTTATCTATAATGACAGGCAAACTGGGCTAGACTAATGGGAGCAAATGTCGTGTGCAAGCCCATACCCACCCATTCTGGGGTTACTGAGAGCACATGGGGACATAGAGTAGTCTTTACTGTGCCATCACCTCCAAAGACTCTCCGCCTTCCTACCTCCATCAATATGTAAGCTACACATCAAATATAGCAGCTGTTACTTTCTAGATAGATTGACTTTATACAACGACTACAAATGAGGACATTATGCTTAAACTGATCCCACTTCTATTCCAATGCTAATGTTTATGCTACTAATTGAGATTTCCAAAATGGAAAGGAACTTGATAAGGGGATTGGAAACTTGGGTTCTAGCTAGCATTAACTACATGCATGAATTCAATCACTACGGGTGATCTGCAACTACCTCTATTACACTTATTCCTTCATTAAAGAATCATATTAGGGAAGGGAAAATCTCACTTTCCCTAAGAAGTGTATTTAAGTACATCTATGAGCACTATGTTATGATACTTATTATGTGTGACTATTTCACATGGCATTAAAAATTTCAATACATAGGGGCCAGAGAGATAGTACAGTGGGTAAAAAAAAAAAAACTTGTCTTACATTGACTGAACTGGGTTCAATCCCTGGTACCCCCTTTAGTCCTCTGAGCTTTCCAAGAATGATCCCTGAGCACAAAGACAGAAATAAGCTTTGAAGCTTTGAGCATAGCTGGGTGTATCTCCAAAACCAAAAACAATAACTAATTTATTTCATTTACTGGAGCAATAGCACAGCGAGTAAGGTGTTTACTTTGCATGCGGCCGACCTGGGTTTGATTTCTCAGCTCCTCTCCAAGAGCCCGGAAAACTACCAAGAGTATCTTGCCCACATGGCAAAGCCTGGCAAGCTCCCCATGATGTATTCGATATGCCAAAAACAGTAACAAGTCTCACAATTTGTTGTGAGATGTTACTGGCGCCCGCTCGAGCAAATCGATGAACAACAGGAGGACAGTGCTATAGTGCCTTATCTAAAATCTGGAGAATGTGACTCAAGTGGTAAAGCACTGACTTGCATGTGTGAAGTCCTGGGTGGAACCCTAGCACCAGAGATTCTGTCAGCAATGGCCCCATCCCCCAATCAATACCAGTTGTGCACTCCAAAAAAATACTATGTTATTAGAACTGCATCTGTACATCTTATTGAATTTTTTTAACAGAAATAACAAAGATTATGAGATAAAAATAGCATCAACTCTATTAGCTATAAAATTACTATTTTGGTTACTGAGTACATAATGATAAGAATTTTCCTTTAAAATTATAGCAGACTCTATAATAAAAACTAAGAATAAAGGTAATGTTATACTAGAGCATAAATTAAAATAATAATTATAAGAGTTACAAAAGTCTTATAATTTTTTAATTATAAGAGTACTACGTCAATGATTTTTATAAAGTAAACACACATCCAACCAAAAACTGCTGGTTTACCTTGAGCTATTTATTATGTTCTGTGATCACAAGGAGAAAGAAACTTTCAGCAAACACAGTTAAAACTTTGGACACTCCAGCAGAAACAGAAATGAAAACAAAATACTCTACTTTTTCCTTTCAAAGTAGCCAAAGTTTCAAAATGGTAATAAAGTCTTGTCAAAGAGGCAGAAGAAAGAACATTTTAAAATAGTACATAAAGAAAGTGCAAACTAATTCATCTCTCAACTAATTAGGTCCCAAGACACTGTTCAAAGGGCTGGAGCAATGACCCAACATGTGTGGGGTCTCAGATTTGATCTTGGTACCTCATGGTCTCGTGAGCACTATCAGGAATAGCTTTAAGTGGGTCCCAGAATTCCTGGGGGGTGCTCAATAGAGAATTAGTTACATTCCTTTTAATTACTACAAGAATTCCAGTTAAGTCTTTTAGTAATGTATTCTGAAAAACTAACATGAAATATTGACCATGTAAAGTTTATCATCTTGACATTTAGCAAAATCCTCTATACCCCGTCTCTAAAAGAAGGGAAGTTTCTGTTTTCCCTCATTTTGAAGAAGTTAAAGAAGATACAGAATAAATATACCTAATTACACACTTTGGGAAATATAGGCAGGTCTCCTAAGCAAACATTTACAAAATGTAGACTGTAGTTCCCTCCCCAAGTTTAGTTCCCTCCCTTTTTTCCAAAGGGAAAAAAGACATATCAAGGTAGAATGGGGGTGTACAGGCTCAGCAAATTTGTCCTGCAAATTTTTCTTCGATAACAGAACTTTTCTACTGCTGGGCTGTCCTGTGTGCTTATTTGTGGCAACTGAAAGGTTAAAATGCACTGGTATGTCCGTGGAATTGCTTTTTCAATTTCCTTAATTTTAACTGCAATGCTAGTGGCAAGGGTATGAGACAACGTGGTTCCGGAGACTGAGCTCTCAATTCTAAGAGGACACAATACTTATGCGGACTCACAGAAACCTGGGTCCCAAAACAGCAACACAATCAGAGCCCCCAGAGTTTTGGTAGTTTCCCAAGGATTCTAATGGGCAAGCAAGATAGAGAACCCCTTTCTGAAAATCCTATCTGAACTAGAATCATGATTTTGGGCTTACTACAATGTAGGGTTTCAGGCAAGCTCCTCTCTAAACCTCAGTTTACTAGCTTGAAAAAGAAAATATAAAAGATACTCAATAAAGTTCTTCGGTGACAATTTCTTAGATGACAATGAAATGAAACATGAAGTAAGAGAAGTTTGGATTTTGTTGTTGTTGTTGTTGTTGTTGTTGTTGTTGTTTTTGAGCCACACCCAGCAAGTCTCAGGGCTTACTCCTGGCTCTGAACTCAGGAACTACTCCTGGTGGTACTTGAGGTCCATATGGAATGCCAAGGATCAAACCAAGGTCGGCCTTACCTACTGTATTATCACTCCAGCCCAAAGAAGTTCTAACTGCCTATGAAGGGCAGGTTGCTCTTATTATAACTCAAAAAAAAATTATTGATATTTCCAAGTTGGGTGAAGTCACAGTTTAAAACGAAAACAAATGAACAAAAATCCTAAGCTCTTAATGGTATAGTCAGAGATGCTTACTAAATGATGGAGATAACATCTCAGAGTTGGCTAGCCTACAGTAAATCATTTGGACAAGAAAAACGTTATGGATGAGGTTTTTGCAGGGCAATTTTCTCATTGTAAAAGGTTCTATCAAATGCTAAAAAAGCCTAACTGTCGCAACTTGTAGTGGTAAAGCATTTGCCTTCCGTGCAGCCAGCGGAGCAGAGCCGGGTTCGATTCCTCCACCCCTCCCGGAGAGCCCGGCAAGTTACCGAGAGTATCTCGCCCCCACGGCAAAGCCTGGCAAGCTACCCTTGACGTATCCAATATGCCAAACACAGTAACAACAAGTCTCACAACGGAGACATTACTGGGCCCACTGGGGCAAATGATGAACAACAGGAGGACAGTGCTACAGTGCAGTGCAGTTGCAACTTGTGAAAACAACTCTAATTATCTGAATAGGAAGAATCCAGACTTTTCACCCTTCACTGCCTTCCAGTAGGTGGAGCCCAAGAATTACAGCCACATGCAGGCCACGCACCACTGCTCAGAGGACAGGTTCAGGACAGACAGGCCAACAGAGAAGTGAACAACATATTTTCTTTTTCCCACTGCATTAGCAAGTATCTGATTTACCTTCTAGTTGAAGTAATTAGAAAAATCCATGTGAACGTATAAGCATAATACGTAAGCATCTGACAGTGGACGCAGTCAACCACCCCCTATGCACTCTCACAAGCTGCCATCCATATCTTTTTCTCTAGTTCCTTGGTAGGCAGTTGATATTGTTTCCTGGACCAGAAAGATGCAGGACCAAGATGCTTCTTAGGACGTAAGGAGCTTTGTGAAAAGGACAAAGAAGTTTCTGAGGACTAATGTGTGACAAATGAATACATTACAGCATAATCATTGGTACAAGAGCTAAAATAAGTTGCGTTTGTAGAGGGCACTGAGTCTATTGCTATGGTTCCCTTGAATCATACTTTGTGATCTTCAGATCAGCAGGAAATTAAGCTGTTACAAAGGGAGCTCTAGAGGGATTGGAAAATTTGCTCCTTTCTCCATCCATACATCACTAGAGTTTTGTTTATTTGAATCATTGAGCTAAAAATAAATGGGGGGGGGGAAGTAATTCATAAAATACAAGAAAATACATGAACTAACACCATACTTGTTGAGAACCAAAAGGTTACTTCTCTTACAATGTTTTCAAATGTCAATTACAGTCTAACGTCATCTGCATTTATCATTTCCAGTTCTACCTTCTCTTCTAAATTCCAATCCTTAAAAAACTCATCTCCAAAACAAAATTTATTTTCTGCTTTTCTAGGCCCCAGAACAATTATTTCTCAGTAAATGAACACCTCCGTTGACCTTCTTGCTTAAGCTGTGAACCATTCCTAAGGTCAAATTGGAACCCAGTTCTTGCCACTTCATTTCTAGTCTCCCCAGCTCCCCCTCCAGGACAAATGCCAAACCCATCTACTTTTCTTCACTAGGCTGCCCATCTACTCCAAATCAACTCACCTTAAAAGCACAATTACACTTTATCCAACCTGCTCTCCTCCCCACTTCTTCTTTTACCTTCTCCTCCAATCACTTCCTCAACAGCAGACATATGGGGTTTTAAAAACTCTCATCTAACTGTGTCACTACCAGCTCACAACATTTCAGTAAGGATTCCTTAAATCAAAAACTTCCATGTGAAAAGTTTTAGGACAGTACACGATGCCAAAGCTTTAAGAAATTACTAATGCAATGTTCAAATGCATGTTTACAAGGTGGAGAGCTACTGGCTACCCTCAGCAGATACCCCAATTTAGCATCACAAATAGTAGGACATCCTGATATTACCTGCCACCTGCCTTGGTGTACAATGAAGTTTACAACTATGGAACAGTCTTAACAAAAATGTTTAACCTCTCTGCCTTTAGACATGACTTCCTATTTATATAAAATTAAAAGGATAAAGGAAGTGAATCACTCTCACAAGACAACAAAGGGTTGAAGAGATGACTCCAAGGGCTGGAACACACCTTGCATGCTGGAGCCTCTGGTTTGATCCCCAGCAGTGCATTGTTCCCTGGTACTGAGAGAGGAATAGTGCCCTAGTACTGCCAGTTGTGGTCCCCAAGTCCCCAAAATACAATTAGACAAATCCAGATAGTGATAGTCTACATTCTGCAAGGGAGAACGATCCTATACCTGCTGAACTCTTTACAGCGTTAATGTTGTAATATGGAAAATAAGGCACAGAGGATAGGAGGTGGAAGCTGCTCATTTTTAAGAGATTACAAGAATCAAACAAGTTAATATACAAATCTAGATGGACCCTGACTTTAAAAGTGATGTAATATTTGTTTATATGCACATACACTTATATATTGAGTACTTTAAAAAATAACCATGAAAATTTATTAAAGAGTTAACTCTTTAATTTCTCTCAGTGATTATAGAATTAAATTCCTGTACACATGTCCTTTGCCTTAAGATATACATCCTGAACAGTATTAGTTGGCAATAATCACCCTGGACAAGAACTGCATGTTGAAAGCAAGTAAAGGGATATAGATGATAACCTTTCAGCATCTGTATCGCAAACCATAATGACTAAAATGAGAGAAAGAGAAAGAGAAGGGAGGTGCCTGCCATATAAGCAGGCTGGGAGGTATGTGGCTTGAAGGGGTGGGAGGGAAACTGGGGACATTGGTGCAGGGAAATTACACTGGTCGAGGGATGGGTATTGGAACACTGTATGGTTGAAATGCAATCATGAACACTTTTGTAATACTCTCACAGTGATTCAGTAAAAAAAAAGATATACATGCTGAATAATTTAGTGGTTAAAAGCCATTATGTTGGGCAAGAGGGAAGGCTCAAGGTCAAGCAGATGCTTTGCAGACAGGAAGCTAGGTTCAATCTCTGGCACAGCAAGGGTCGCCCAACAACCAAGTCCAGAACTGCTCAAATACCACTACAAGTGGTCAAAGCCCTCCCCCCAACCCTAAAAAAAATGGCTATGAAGATTTACTAATTAGAGGACCTAAATATGTGGCTCAGCATTCGCCTTGCATATTTCAGGACCTGGGTTTTATTTCCAGCCCATATACACACACAAAAAAAAGATTGAACAATTCATTATTTAGATGAGTATTAAAGTCAGTGAAGTGTTTTCACCAGACTTGTTCAATATAATATGCCTCTTATTTTCAGGTATTCTTTGTTCCCCTCTCTATTTTAATTATACGCAACAAATGTGTATTAAGAATAAAAACTGTGGGGCTAGAGCAATAGCACAGCAGGTAGGGCATTTGCCTTGCCCGTGGCCAACCCGGGTTCGATTCCCAGCACCCCATATGGTCCCCCTGAGCACCGCCAGGAGTAATTCCTGAGTGCATGAACCAGAAGTATAACCCCTGTTCATCGCTGGGTGTGACCCAAAAAGCAAACAAAAAAAAAGGATGAAAACCATACACTAATAACTTTATGGAAATGTTTGATTATTGCTTTTGACTACTTAGTCAAAGGATAACAGCATGGTTGTTAAAACAGCCAAGTACAGGAGCTGGAGAGGTAGTACAGTGGGTAGAAAACTTGCCTTGTAAGTTCAATCCCCACATCTCATATGTTCCCCCAAACACTGGCAGGAGTAATTTCTGAGTGCAGAGCCAGTAGTAAGCCCTGAGCACTGCTGGGTGTGGCCCAAAAATAAATAGTAGGGGCAGAGAGATAGTAAAATGGGTAGGGCACTGGCCTTGCACACGACCACCTAGACTTGATCTGTGACATCCCATATGGTCCCCTGAGCACCACCAGGAGTAATTCGTGAGTGCAGAATCAGAAATAACCCTTGAACATGGCCAGGTGTGGTCCAAAAACTAAACTTTTTTCTTAAAAAAAAAAAGTTTCCATGTACATAGGTTTAGAACAGTAGCTTTCAACCCTTTACTTCCAGCCAACACCTGTCCTGCACAACAGTCTACAGACCAGCTGGGAGGTGTGTGGCTTGAAGGGGTGAGAGGGAAACTAGGGACATTGGTGCAGGGAAATAACCAAGAGAGCAGTTATAACCAAGAGAGCAGACCAGTGGACCAGCACCAGTCTTTGGACAGGTGTCAAAACAGTCTGATTCAAGGGTTGGAGAGATAGTTTAGCAGATATATTGTTTGCCTTGCACATCATTGACCTAGGTATGAGCCCTTGTACCCCATATAGTTCCCTTAGCATCACCATAAGTAATTCCTGAGTGCAGAACCAGAGGGAACCCTGAGTATCACCAGGTATAGCCTCTCAAAAAAAAACAAAAAAAAACCTTATTTAGAAAGCACCAAATGCAAAAAAAAAAAACCTCACAACATTGTCATCACTGCATGCCATTTATGAAAAAATGAAGAGGTGAGATAATGTAAAAATATCAAATACAATTCCACTCCTTCTATTACAATAACACAAATAATAGTAAGACAATAGCCCTATTGACTATAGCTTCTTTTAATCAGATAGCAGATGTATGAAATTATTACAGAAATGATCATTTGGTAAATAAAAATTCTTATGATCACTTATGTAAGAATGTGGTTCTATTATACTTATTTTCCAGGATCCACATAAATAAACAATGATAAATGTCACATAAAACTCAAGTAAAATTATGTTGATCAATACTACCCTGATTATACCTGTATGGTTGGTAAAAACATAAAGGCTCCAGTGTTCAGATAACTTTTCTTGGTCTTGAAGATTATTACACCCAAAGTTGACTAGTCTAAAGCAAAGAATAATAAATTAATACAATAAAAATAAGTTCTCTCATAAAGGACAATAGTGATCATTACAATATACCCAGAGAAATAGAGAAAGATTCCTAGAATTTTAGGCAAAAACTATTGACAAAAATGGAAATTATAACTGCAAAAAATACATCTTCCATGGCACATAAATGCCATGCCCCTACCAACAGAAAAATATATATTACATTGAACTTATTTTTTTCTGGTTTGCTCGAGCAGGCCCAGTAACGTCTCCATTTGGAGACTTTGGTGTTACTGTGTCTGGCATATCGAATACTCTCAGTAGCTTGCCGGGCTCTCCAAGAGGGGCGGAGGAATCGAACTAGGGTCGGCCATGTTGGCTGCGTGCAAGGCAGACGCCCTACCCGCTGTGCTATTGCTCCAGCCCTTTTCTGGTTTAGAGTAATACATATACTGTTTAAAAATAAGCACAATTAAATTGATTATATGATGAACTGCAGCTAGTGAAACATATAACGTTTTGGGATTATCACTACTCAAATTCGAAACAACTTTCTTCTTTGACTGACATCCGCATATCTTCATTTTTCAAAAGTCATGCTTTTATTACAAGTAACTGGGTGGAGGGGGGAAATCTTGCCTTCCATGTAAAAGGAAAATAGAAAAAAGGTAAGAAATAGCATCAGCTAAGTTACCTGTGAACTGACCTGTGACATACTTTTTAAATGGCAACACAAAATGGTTTTTTCTTTAAATTCAAAAAGTAGCTCATTGATTCATTTAATAATAGGAAATAGATTACTTCATGAGTCCAAATAAATGAAGGTGCCATACAGAAATAAATGGCTAAGGAAATCAATACAATTGATTGGGCACATGAATGCTGTTTCTACTTCTTAGGAAGAATAGAAATAGAAAAGAAGATATACACACAGAATATCAAATTATCCTTTTATCTGATACCACAGAATAAATATAATCATTCTGCCTGAAAATGTCTATAAAATTTAATGACAATCTATCAATAACTTACTTAAATCCTGAGTCACTTAATGATATGTCCAAGGGTGCTTCAAACTGTTAATCAGGAGAAAAGAAACCCACAAAGAACATTAATTGATGACAGTTCTGAGACGCTGATGCAGCCTGACAGTACTGTGCTTGTTAAGTAAAGAAGAGCTCACTTAACCACATTTCCTTCAGTGCTTATCCCCAAAACAAGCACAAAAAGTCCTTTCTAAAACAAATAAAACAGAATGTGGGAGAAAAGATCAGAAGAGTAAATAAAATTTCTGCAATGGTATAATACCATTTTATATTAGTAATATTAGTCCTAGTCAAGAGAATAGGTACACACTATCTATCACAGATAAAATTATTTGCCTTATTTCACTACAAGACCAAATTACAAGGAGACCAAATTATTAATTAAATTATACCTCTATTGGCTATATACCTGATTTTCAAATTCTCTAGACTCACAAATCCTTCTCAGTTCCATGAGTTATTAACCACTTAAATATATATTTCCTAAAGATCACATCTATTACCACACGTTTCTTTTCGTTAATTATCTATATTTTATTTATTAATTTACTTTAATTGAATCACCGTGAGATACAGTTACAAAATTGTTCATGATTTGGGTTTCAGTCATAGGATGTTCAAATACCCATCCCTTCACCAGTGCACATTTCCCACCACTAATGTCCCCAGTTTCCCTACCAATACCATCTTCCATTCCCTGCCTGCCTCTATAGCTGCCATTTTTCCTCCCTCTCCCTCTCCCTCTACCCCTGTCTCTCCCTTCCCCTCCCCCTCCCTCCCTCTGGTTTACAATGCAAGCACTGACAGATTATCATGTATATCCCTTTACTATTCTCAGGACACAATTCTTGTTCATAGTGGTCATTTCCAACTCTCATTGTCATAGTGGGCTCTTCTCTATCCTAACTCTCCTCTTCTATTGTGGCAAGAGTCCAAAAGTGGACCAGTCCTCCAGGCCCTTGCTTCTAATCTCCTTGTAATAAGTCTCATGTTGTGTTTTTTTTCTTTTTTATATCCCACAAATGAGTGCAATTATTCTATGTCTGTTCCTGTCCTGACTCATTTCATTCAGCATGATACTTTCCATGTCCGTCCATTTACAAGCAAATTTCATGACTTCATTTTTCCTGGTGTCTGTATAGTATTCCATTGCACGTTTCATTTTGTGGAGAGCCCCCCGCCCCGAGGTGTTTGGGAGGCGCCAGAACTACTCCTGGCCATGCTTGTAGATACATTTGGTGCCAATGATCAAACTCAGGGGCTCACTCCTATGAGGCATGCTGAGCCAACTCCCTCATCATCCTACTTGTTTCTTTAATATGATGTATTCAATTAGACATTTCCTGCCTGCTTTTCATTTATAACATTTATTATAGAGTTGAAACCTTGACAGGGCAGGAATTATTTTATGCCTCTACAAGTGACTAACACAACATTAGGAATTCTATTTTTATCTTCAACAAAAGCATCTTTTAAAAAGAGCCAATGTGATAAAATGTCATAGCTTCATCATTCTCTGCACTTACCATTAAATTAAAGTTCTCATTAGCATAAAACTGAATGCATTTCAAGACACTTCTTGATTTCTAAAAGAGAAACCAGTAGATGACATTACAAACAAAAATAAATAAACGCATTTAGGAGAGAGATAGAGACTGAGAATGAGTGAGAGAGCAGCAGCCAAGAAGGAGCTATAAAAACTTTGTTATTGATTTTAATAAATCTTCACTGATTGGCCATCAATGAAGATCAGCCACTGGTAGGTTACAATGATGATGTAAAAAGTAAATTGTCCCTATCAAATTTCAGTTGATCGGGGACTGAAGTGAGATAGCACAGCGGTAGGGCATTTGCCTTGCACACAGTCAACCCAGATTTGATTCCCAGCATCCCATATGGTTCCCCGAGCACTGCCAGGAGTAGTTCCTGAGTGCAGAGCCAGGAGTAACTCCTGTGCATCGCTGGGTGTGACCCAAAAAGCAAAAAAAAAAAAAAAAACCTCCAGTTGCTCTCATTCATATGGAATATAAAAAAGCAAAGTGAGGAAATGGATTGTATCCAGTGATAACAAACCCTTGATCTCTGGCTACAGAATCAAGGTTACCAAGTGGTGAGAAGGAAGGTCAAAGGGAGGTAGGAGAGGAAGAAGTGGACTTATTTTTTGGACATCAGGACAATGGTATAAGGGCTTGGGTGGTGAAAGTATAGTAACTTTGTACACCAAAAGCATTAACACTCCTGTAACCATGTCACTTAAACTATAATTTTTTAAAAGAAAAATAATCATTCCTATAAAAAGGACAGTTTTCTTGCTTGTCCAGATCCATTATATTTAGGCCAAAGAAAAGTGAAACTAGGGAAGATCCCAGGATACCTTCTGTTTCTAACCCTCAGCAGTTCATCCTTCCGACATTTGTTCATTTGCAATAGCTTAAAGGAACTATATCAGATAAAAGACAAGTTTTCACCTTCAGATCAATGTAAAATAATCTCTGCTCCAACGTATCCCACTGAGCCCAAACAAAATCCTCAGCTACTCTCTCTCTTGGGAGATGGGCAGAATTTTTAATAACCTGCAGAGGCAAGCAAGACAATTTCAGATAAAAAATAACCATTTTAAAGTAGAATATATGAATATTACTTTTATATATCCCATAATACATACATTTTCATAATTTATTATTAGAAGCCTCTACCTCTAATACATTCACATTGACAGTCTTTCCCCAAAAAAACCTAACACATAATTTTATTACTTGCTCTTCCCAAACACATTACAATAAATCATTTCATTCATGTTCCTAGTTCGACACACAAGGGCTGTTTGAAGGCAAAACCACCCCGACTACAAATGTGTGGCTGCATTAACGGAAGATTTGGAGCTTCCCCTTTCCTGCATCTCCTTTTGTCTTCAGTCATGAGGTATTTGCTACCAAAGAAAGAGCAGACACTGACGCTGACGGAAAGCTCATGTGTAGGTGTGTAGCTTACTGGACAATGATCCCGGATCTGCCATAATCTATTTACATGGCTTTGGGCATGCTTCTGCCTTTATGTCTTCTCTAATGAATATAATGATTTGGCCTTCTCTCAGCACCACTTAGCTACTTCACTTCAGGTATGGCCTCCTGTACAAAATCTTCCCTTACCTGCCCCCAAAAAAAGTCAATCTCCCGATCTCTATATAGCTATGGGGCCCCAGCAGGCTTCTATGACAGCTACATTTTAATGAATGTCTCCATCAGGAGACATTCAATGGCATTGGACACTCTGGCTTCTCAATGTCTTAAGTAATACATAAATAATTCTAGTCTGTAATCAAAGGCATGATGGTTTAAAAGTAGGACAAGGAATACAAGTGTACACTGCCAAGGCTACACAAGAGTATAACAGGTATTAAGAATTCACTTTCCAAAGATCAGACACACTGCTTTTCCTGACTTTATACTACAAATCCTACAAATCATAGCTGGAACAAATGCAGACTCACAGATCAATGGAACAGGATTGAGAGCTCAAATTAAGATCTCAGATACGTGGGCAACTGTACAACAAGGGGGCTGAGTGCCTGAAGTGGAGTAAAGAATGACTCTTCACAAGAGGTGCTAAAGAAAGTGATTAGCCTCATGAAAAAAAATGAAAGGAAGAAATAAAGAAAAAAACAAAGGAAGAAAGAAAGAAACTAGACTCTAATCACACAAAGTTAATTCAAAATTTATTAAAGATCTTTCTATATATCAGACTTGTATCCATTAAATATGATACCCATTATATGAGAAAACATAATGCTGACCTCAGATCAATGTACAATGAGGCAACTCCACCAGCAAAAGAAAAAAAACCAGAAATAAACAAATGGGACTGTATCAAACTTATATGCTTCTGCATGGAGAAAATCAATGATTCCAAAAAGGATCCTACAGAAAAGGAGAAAATATGCACACATCTAAGATTTATAAAGCCCCCTTAAAATCTCAATTACAACAATAAAAACACAAACCCATCAAAAAATCGAAAAAGGAGCTGAACAGATACTTCCTCAAAGACATAAAGATGGCCAACAGACATATAAAAAAGTGTTCACTATCAATGATTATAAGGGAAATGCAAATTGAGCACCAATATCATCTCATAGTGAAAGCAGCCTATACCAGTAAGAATGGAAACAACCAGTATTGGTGGGGATGCAGTGATAAAAGGGCTCTCATTCACTATAGTGAGATTGCTGCCTGGATCAGCCTTTGTGGAAATGGTGTGGAGATGCCTCAGGAAATTAAGAACGGAATTTCTGTATAACCCAATGATTCCCTTCCTGGATATCTATCCCGAGATTAGCTAAAACATTAATCTGCAAGAGATATACACACCTATTCAATGCAACACAACTCACAACTCACAACTCACAAGGTCCAGAATATACACACCTATTCAATGCAGCACAACTCACAACTCGCAAGGTCCAAGTGCCCAACAACAGATGAATAGTACAGAAATTACTATATATATATATATATATATATATATATATGCACACACAATGGGATACTACTAAGCTATGAGCAAAGATGAAATCTTGCCATTTTCTGCAACCTGAATGGAACTGCAGGGGTTCCTACTAAGTAAAGTAAGTGAGAAAGAAAAGATAAATACCAGATGATATTGCTCATCTGGGTTGAGTATAAAGAAACAAAGCAATTGACTACAAAATCCCTCATGGGAATAAACCTTGAGATATTGCCAACAATACAGCAAACTGAGGCTTCCAAGGAGAGTAGGGCTGGGAGAAGCACCATGTTTGTGTGCATTGCATTTAGGTTGAAGGCAAGTGATGCTAACGAGAATGATTCAAGAGTATTTGCTATAGACCCAACATGATTGCCACTCAATTCCTCTTTTGCAAACCACAGCACCCCAAAGAAGAAAACAAAAGAGAATGCCCTGCCACAGAGGTAGGGTGGGATTGGGGGAATGGGGGATGGGAGGGATACTGGGATTAGTAGGAGTGGAGAATGGGCACTGGTGGAGGGATGGGTACTCGATCACTGTACAACTGAAACCCAAGCACAAAAATCTGTAAGTCTACAACTGTACCTCATGGTGTTTCACTAATAAAAAAAATTTTTTTAAAAAAGAGTATTTACATAATTCTTGGGCAGTCTACCTTGCACCACTTTTATGCAATTTGTTAGGTTGGGGGGAAGTTGGGTACGCTTTCAGAAAAAAAAAAACATAACTCTAGTGACCTCAAATCCATAAGCATTCTTGCTGTGTTCCTGGTGGAAAACAATATGATATCACCAGCAAGGATTTTTGTGAAGAAAATGTGGAATCCTACACGGTAAGAAGCTGTCATCTAAGCTTGCAAGAAGAGAGAGAGTGCCTCTGATGCTGGTCCATAGATGGAGGAAAGGCCAGGCAGTAACCTTGGGCAATCAATGTCCTCCTGTGCTCTGACAAGGCACCCTGTCCACATCCTTTCTCTTCCAGGAGCCCCAAGTCAGGCAGTTGTTGTCTATATCCATGCCCAGTGCTGACCCTGACTTTCTCTTCTCTAACTTCTTATCTCTGACTTTGGGACTCAGTTTATTTCTCTTCTGACCTCACCCTTTTCTGACATCTCACCACATCCTTGTCCTCCATCCATTTAGTTATTGATGGCCCAGGGCTGTAGCCACACATTATTGGTTCACTTTTTTCTAAGTCTCTGGATTTTAGTAGAATACACAGTTAATAAATAACATTATTATTTCATTTTATTCACATAACCATAAAATTATGGGCTGGAACGATAGCACAGCGATAGGGCGTTTGCCTTGCACGCAGCCAACCCGGCCGAGCTGGGTTCGATTCCTCCACCCCTCTCAGAGAGCCCAGCAAGCTACCGAGAGTATCTCGCCCACACAACAAAGCCTGTCAAACTACCAGTGACATATTCAATATGCCAAACACAGTAAAAACAAGTCTCAAAATGGAGACATTACTGGGCCCACTGGAGCAAACTGTTGAACAACGGGAGGACAGTGTTAACCATAAAATTTAAATCTTAAAAGATTATTTTATGCAGACTATTTAGATACTGAAAGATAAGATTTTAAGGTCCATTATATATATATATATATATATATATATATTTATATAAACAATATTTAGGCTACACTTGGTGGTGCTCAGATTCAGAGCTTAGTCCTGGCTCTGTTCTCAGGGATCACTCCTGGCAGGCTTGGGGGACCATATGGGGTATTGGGGATTGAATGCAGGTCAGCCAAGTGTGACTGCAAGGCAAACAGCCTACTCATTATATTATTAATCTGGCCACTTGGTCTATAATGTATCAAATTTATAAATTGTCAAGGGAAAATCAGTACAGTATAAAAACAGGCAAGATAAAACTTAAAGAGAAAAATTCAAATAGCTAGTGAGCATTGTAGATGCTCAAATTCACCAATATTAAGAGAAGCACGGACAAAAATTATATTATCAAGCTATGTCTACCAAGTTAAAAATATTTCTAAAAGGCAAATATTCCTATTATGGGCGTTGATAGAAGAAAAGGTACTCACACTTTGTTTCTAAAACTGTGAAATGTTACACTTTTTTTAGAAAATAAACTGGTAAAATCTGATGAAATAAAAATTAACATACATTCATCAACACAAATATCCAATTTCTGAGGACTTAGTCCAAAGAAATATGTATCCCAAATATGAAAAGCTACAAATGTAAAAATCCCTTGAGACAATTTTAATTCAAACAAAACAAAAAAGAACAAGCAATCAAGTCAATGTATATCCATAGAGAAATGGTTTTATATATATATACATATATAAGTAATATATGGTTTTAAGGAAAAATTAAGAATTGTGTATAACCATAGCAGGGACTATTATGTCCCTCTAAAGAGAATAAATTGGAGCTTTTTTGGTTGACTATACAGGATTCTATAAAGCTGAATGCTGAATGAGGAATAAGTGAATAATAAACAAACCCTTGGAGTATCAGTAATGGAGATGGTAGTAATACAGTTTTAATAAAAATTCAGAACTCACTCATACAAGGTGGTGAATAAAAGTCAGAGGGGAAAAGAAAAGAAAAAATAGAAGACAAGCAAAAGGAAAGGAAATCAAGCTATATAAAACCCTCTGTGAGCCCGTTCTTCATATGTATTTACATCAATCTATATATAATCAATTGATAATGTAAAAACTAGGGAAACTCGAGCAAATCAATGAACAATGGGAAGACAGTGCTACAGTACAGTGCTACTCAATTTTTAACAGCCAAGACAGATAAAAGTGTCTCTCTATAGAAATAAAACTCTGATACAAAGATATTTCAAATATTTACCACTCTATTTCCATCTTCTTGGACTTGAATATGAAATTGTTCAATATCTTTAAATGGAAAAAACAATCAAAAGATTATTTAAAACACATGAATACATTTTCATATTGCAATTTTTTTGCAAGGGTGGGGCAGGGCTCATTATAAGCTCAGGGCTTATTACTGGCTCTATGCTCAGGGATCGCTTCTGGTAGTACTCAGGGAAGCATATATGGAGCAGATCAAACTTAGGTTGACAGATTGCAACATTTTTTAATAAAAGCAGAGCATAGAGGGTTATTTTGCTAGTGCAACAGCATTGAGATTTTTGGTGGTAAGCATGGTAACTTTTTTTTACAAGTACAAACATGAAGCTGCACTCTCAGCATTTTTTAGTATTGCAAACCAATTTCATCTCAGGGGCCAGGAAGGGTGCTTTGCATATGTAGGACCCTGGTCCGATCCTCCCCTGGAGGTCCTTGAGCACTGCCCAGCCCAAGCTTCAAGCAATCCAGGAACCAGTTGGCTGAGTATCCCACCACTTGGCGGGTGGTCCTCAGGTCTTTTGAGAACTGCTTAAGAGGTTCCTCCCCAAGTTTTATTTCCAAAAGTAAATAAATGCAAAGCAGATTAACTGGCAAATATGATTAAAACAATAAACTCACAATAAAAATTCAAAACAAACTCACCTTTCTCCCCTTCCCTCCATAGTCTATTTTAAGTCCAAGTATGTATACTGCTTTTCAGAATCAATAATACCTGAAAGTCCCCTGAGCTGAGTCAAGTGTTTGGCTCCTTTATCCCATCAGTCTTAAAAAGGGTAACAAGAATCTCCTCAGCAGTATTTATCTTCCATTTCCAAATACTAGACAACACTTCGTGTGAAAGTATCAGATAGCTAACTACATACATAAGATCTTGGGGAGGTATTGTTTTGGTTTTGGAGCACACCTAGTGGTACTCAGAGACTCCTCTCAACTCAGTGACATGGGGATCACTCCTGATGGAACTTAGGAGACCATGTGGTGCTAGGGATCAGCCCACAGGCTCCAGCAAACAAAGCGTGCACTGCTGCTGATTCACCTCTCTCTCCCGCCCAAGGGGAAGGTATTTTTATAAGGACCAATTTCACACTAACAGAAACTGAAATTTTTTTAGGAACCACACCTACCTACCTACCTACCTCTCAGTAATCATTCCTGGTAATGCCTGAGGACTGGTCTGTGGTGCCAGGGATCAAATCCAGGTGGCCACATGCAAGTCAAATGCATCACTTGCTGTCTATTGCTATCTCTCGGCCCAGAACTCAAAATTTTTTAACTCGATATATATCTAGGTGACCCCTTTGTCTCAGTAAGAACATTAGATCTGTCCATACATTCCTTTTGCTGATTCTAGTTACAAAAATATGAATGTCAACTGGGTAGTACCATAGAAACTTACCAATCTAACCCTCTCAGTATACCCCAACTGTAAATCAGTAGTTTGATCTCAAAATCTGAACGAGGACTTTCTGGGCTCAAGCTTACCTCAGATAAGAACTCAATGACCCCATGGTAAGAAATAACAATATTTTTTTATAATTCCATTATTCATTTAGTCGTAATGAGCAATATAAAATAAATTTTTTTCTGCCTGCTAAAATAATGTGTAAAATTATTTTGGAAAGTAGGAACAATGGTGGAGGAAAGGTCATACTCATGGAGGGAAGGGACTGGTGTTGTTACATTGAATGTTCATAACAACTGTAGTAATGAACAACTTCGTAAACCCCAGTATTTAAATTAAGTTTAAAAAATAATAAATGAATAAAAAGCTGAAATGAAAACAACAACAGAAAGATGACTTCTTCCTAGATGAAATCATCTGGATTTTTTTATTCTTTCTATACCCACACCTACAACCTGAAAACATCTTTCAAGGATATTCCAATCCATTTGCCCTCCTCTGAATCTGTCCAACTTGGCATGTATCTCATGGAATTCTCAAGCTTTTAAAGCTGTTTTTATCATGTTTCTTTGACAGATAACCCTCATAAAAAAGGATGGAATACAATGAAATCAACCTCCACAGCTCTTCTATGAACATTCTACCATGTGACAAAATTGGAAAGCCATATATGCAGGAACACATTGTTCCCAAAAGAAAAACAGAGAGGAGCCTGTGCGAACAAGCAGAAGCTGGAGGAAAAGTCCTTCCACGGAAATCTCAGCTCCCAAATAGACATCAAAGGTAAGCAGTCTCTAGGCACTGGTGAGTGGACAAGATGTTGTCACGTCCCACACATCGTAGGAGATGAGCCACTCATGAAGTCTCCACATATCACTTAGTGGAATACTTACACTTCTCTTCTGAAATCACTAGCAGATGGTTCTCTGAAAGATGATCTTCCACATGTGGATAAAGGAACTGCAACAAAAAGAAGTGAATCAAAACTATCAGTAACCAACTACACCTTGCCTTCACAAATAATTCAAGGCTGTATCTGATCACTATGCTATTACATCGCCCAGAAGAGAAGCAGCACAGGTTAGTTTGTATGAACCACATTACAGGAGGAAAAGAACACCTCTGGGAGCTCAGTTCTAGAAAATGGTTTGCATGTACAACACAGCTCATTTGAACAGGTTATTGCTAGGTATGGTGTCCTCCTTTGGAATATGTGATTCTAGAGCCATTGAGCAACTATCAATAGTATCTGGAATGAAGGTGCTTCATTTGCACACCACCCCCAAAATGATCAATACATGGATTAAATATTCAACTGAATCCAGTATTTCTTTAACTTGAGAGGTTAAGTAAATGTACTCCTGAGACAATTTACAAAGTTCCATATCCAAGAGACAAAGCACAATAATAATCAGGGACTTTCCAGGAAGTGAAAGCAAGTCACAGTGTGCATGTGGATGGGGATTTACGAGCCTTGGAGCACACTGGGAAGGAGAGGCCTAATCCACCTCATTGTTCCTCTCCTGTGTCCTGTCATTGATGCGAGCCCATAGGACCAAGCAGGCAGCCAGAAACTCTGAGCCTGACACCATCAGCTGGAATAGGGAGAAAAAATGTCTGGGGGAGGCTTCTGGTGATTTAATTCTTTCATTGTTCAAACTGTAAGGAGAAGACAGCACTTTGACTTTATCATGTGAACCATCGCTTATTAAATGAGATTCACCTGTGAATTTTGTTTCTCTCCTCTAAATATGAAAAAATAAGGAAAAATAACCCTTTGTATTTCTTTTTTATAGGGAGCAGACTCTGAAGACTAGGAAAATTTGGGACAAAATTGTGTCTGGTGTCTTAGCTTTGATTATTTTTTTAAAGCAGTTTGCCTGGAGCGATAGCACAGCGGTAGGGCATTTGCCTTGCACACAGCCAGCCTGGCTGAGCTTGGTTCGATTCAGAGAGCCTGGCAAGCTACTGAGAATATCTCATCCGCCTGGCAAAGCCTGGCAAGCTACCCGTGACGTATTCAATATGCCAAACACAGTAACAAGTCTCAAAATGGAGACGTTACTGGGCCAACCACAGTAACAACAAGTCTCAAAATGGAGACATTACTGGGTCCGCTCGAGCAAAAATCGATGAACAACAGGTGGACAATCACAAATCACAAAGCAGTTTGTAGTCAAGTATTGCTTTGAGGATTAAAAAACAAAATTTTAACTAAATAGCATTCTTCACAAGATGACTTAAAAAAATATAAAAATGGATAGCAAAGGTCTTTACTGGTCTGTTCTTGTGGCCTCCTCAGCATTTCCAGCCAGGGCTATCCAGGCTTGTGGACGTTACTGAAGACTGAGGTTGACAGGGGCTGGGTGCAGAGGAACACTGAGGGAATCAGAGCACAGGAAGAAAGGAGGTTTATAAAAGCACATGGTCTGTACTTCATGGTGTTTCACTAATTAAAAAAAAAAGCACATGGTCAGGGCTGGAGAAATAGCACAGGAGGTAGGGCGTTTGCCCTGCATGTGGCCAACCCAGGTTCAATTCCCAGCATCCCATATGGTCCCCTGAGCACTGTCAGGAGTAATTACTGAGTGCAGAGCCAGGAGTAACCCCTGAGCATTGCCGGGTGTGACTCAAAAAGGGAAAAAATAAAAAACATGGTTAGCCAATTGTGGCCAACACTAGTTCGTATCTAAAACTACTTAATACTTTATCAAAATGAATTTTGTGAAATTGTACTTATCTCAATTAAAAAATTAAAATACATGACACACTGATAGGCCAAAGTGAAAATTTCCCCCCAATTAATGATCAGATGCCCCTTCTGGAACAGTCTGAGTTCCCAGCATTGCTCCCTGCTCCTCAGGATGATGCCTTCAGGGAGAAAAATGCCTCCAAAACCCTGTTCACAGTAAAACCCTTCCCTCTGCCTCTTCCCTAAGTCCTAACATTTAAATTATTTTTTCTTTTTTGGGGTCATACCTGGCGATGCACAGGGGTTACTCCTGGCTCTGTACTCAGGAATTACCCCTGGCGGTGCTCAGGGAACCATATGGGATGCTGAGAATTGAACCCGGGTCAGCCCCGTACAAGACAAATGCCCTACCCACTGTGCTACTGCTCCAGCTCCCAAGCCCTAACATTTAGAAAAAATGGATTCACTGCTCTGTGAACACACACTTACCAATATATCACAACATACCTCTGTTTAATGTGTGCTTAGGTTTAAAGAATCTTTGGAGCGACAGCACAGCAGTAGGGCTTTTGCCTTGCACGCAGCCAACATGGCAGACCCTAGTTGGATTCCTCTGCCCCTCTTGGAGAGCCCGGCAAGCTACCAGGAGTATCTCACCCGCACAGCAGAGCCTGGCAAGCTACCCATGACGTATTCGATATGCCAAACACAGTAACAACAAAGTCTCCAATGGAGACGTTACTGGGCCCACTAGAGCAAATCGATGAACAACGGGAGGACAGTGACAGTGATGTTGTTGATTAGTAACATTGATCTGCCAGCCTACTCCACTATAAATGTGTGTCTGAAAGAAGCTTATCTAATGCAGGTGCGTACTTTCTCTGTAGAGCAATGCATCACAGCCTTTTTGCACTTAGGAACATGGGATAGCACTTTAGCAATACGGTTGGGGGATGTTTCAGTGACATCACCAAGTTTGCCAAAATCATGGTAACTAAAGAAACCTCTGAAACAGTACTTGTTTACAGTAAACATGCTGAAATAAGAAAGCAACTGTCACATCCTTTGACCTCAGCTGGGAGCAAGCCCATTGGTGACGAATTTTTCACAGTTCTGCATACGTCTACAAATGACTAAGCAAGTACCATGGATGTTGATTTTAGGGATACAGATAAATTTTACAAAGCAGGAAAATTTACAAAATTTGAAAAAAATTCCAAGTATCATGATGACTAACTTTGTCTAATCCACTTGCACTACATATACACAACATTTCTACATCAATTCATGAAGTTGGAAAATTCTGGGATTAAGTCCTTTAATCATTTATATTTAATCTACCAAATACATTAATCCAGTAAATAATTTTTAAACTTACCTTTGAACAATCAATAAATTAATCATATAGAAACTTAGGAAACTATCAAACTGTAATATAATTTTTTTAAAGTTTGGATTAAGTTTTGACTTCCATGTTTGCAAAGAAATTGCTGATAATTCTAGCCATACTCATCTAAGTAATTAAATGTGATAATGTGCATGAAAGCACTTTTTAGATATAAATACCTCTAGGTTCACACTTTTTAATTAATCAGGTAAGTAATAAATGACATGTTCACTTACCTGTACCCAAATACGGTTATCCACTGCTTTAAGAACCTTGACATTATTAATGGGACAGATTTCAACCAGCAAAGTTAAGCATTTTGATCCTACAAAGTAAAAGAAAGAATGTTTTGGTAATTAAAACTAAAATATAACACATTATCTTCCCCTTAGAGATCTGAACTTAGAAAATGTGAAAGTTTCCATGTGGTATTAGCATTCCACCAAGTAGCACTGCGCTGTAGCACTGTCCTCCCATTGTTATCGATTTGCTCAAGCGGGCACCAGTAACAGCTTCATTGTGAGACTTCTTGTTACTATTTTGGCATATCGAATATGCCACAGGGAGCTTGCCAGGCTTTGCTGTGTGGGCAGGAACTCTCAGTAGCTTGCCAGGCTCTCCGAGAGGGACAGAGGAATCGAACCAGGGTAGGCCGGGTGCAAGGTTTTCATAAGGAAAGTGAAAACCGATAGGCCTTATTAATAAATATAGCACAAAAATTTGGAACGCTTCACAAATAATTTTCTTTAATTTTATTCTGACATTTTTTAAAACTAGAAAACATTGGATTACATGCTCAAGTCTCTCAAATTTTGACATCTCCTTTCTTTTCTTAAAAAATTTTTGGCCTGAAAAAAAAAAAGATTAGATGAAACTTCCAAAATAAAAATAAATAATGAAATAATGAAAAGAAATTTTTTAATTTAAAAAAAAACTTCTGGCCTGCATACTTTGCCATTTCCTAAAATCCAAAGTAAATACAGAAAACAACCTGAAGGACAAGTCAATGTGTATGGAGCAAGGAACAAGGTCCATCCCTCAGACATTGTTAGCTTTGCTTCACAGATCTTCCAGGCTCCCAAGCGCAACCACAACTCAAGTCAATGTCAGTTCAACTCTACTGGTGTATGTTAGATGTGTATGAAACAGAGAGGTGTCTCTGATGCAATGAATGTGCTGTTGTGGTTGGCAGCATCTGTAAGTAGGACAAGGGCTTGGCTTCCTTCTGGAATGGCAGTGAAGCTCCACGATAAAGACCCACTTATTTCCTCAGTGTCACATTTGAGCAAATGTTGTAAATGATAGCAATTAGAAGGAAGTCCCTAGACTTGAGCCAGAATGAGGTTACCAGATAACTAAATTTAGGTCAAAGTTTCCCCCAGCCACCACCCTACCCCCCAACACACACAAGATTAAAACTCCAAAAGGAGCTACTTTGTATCTGTTTTTATAAAGCTTCTGATATTATCAGATGCTTCTTCTGTGACTTTATTTTAAAAATAAGGCATAATTTAGGGATGGCATAGCAATCTGAAATTGAATCAATATGATTTGCACTGTTTTTAAAAGACAAAAATCTGACATCAATTCTTTACTTAGAAAAAAACAAAAGACAATGAATGTAGGGGCACTTCTTGGATGTCCTCTGAGTTATAAAACCTGGATTATTTATACAAACAAGCTTTTAAAGATTACCCAAAAAAGTAAAGCAAGTGACCAACTATGTGGAAACACAAATATACAACTATGGAATGAATAAAATTCTATTGTTTTGTCAATAAGAATTTGTGGCTCAAGACAGAAATTCCAAAAGCAGAAGTAAAGGTAAGGGGCTTTGTAAGTGGGCATGATGGCACAAACAAGTAGGACTGAAATTTGAAAATTAGAAAAAGGTGACTTTCTCTGTTACTCTTATATTATACTGTACTGTGAGTATATGTAATTATAAGATGAAACAATACAAGCTGACATTTTACTGTGTCTCTTCCCCTAAAAGCTTATAAATTCCAACAGGGAAAAAAAAATTCCAGTTTAAAAAAAAATAAGCAGACCTTATATTGAGCCATTTTTAGCATATATTTATACTAAAATAGAAAACCATTTGTAAGTCTACAACTGTACCTCATGGTGTTTCACTAATAAAAATTTTAAAAAAGAAAAGAAAACCATCTATCAGTTAAATTCACTAACCTTTAAAATGGGAAGGTGTTGAAGGGCAGAAACTATTTTCCTACACCAGTTTTCCTTCTTTGGGCAGTAAAACATCGTAATATAATTAGTCTAATAATAGTATAAACATTTGCAAACAGGAATTGCAAACAAGAATTGCAAATAGTAACATACCATGTGCTTTCACCATGTAAACAGGAAGCATTCTCGATTAGAATGTTAGAGACATTCTTCTAGTTTAAGCTCAACATGAAGCTAACATACTTTCAGCAAATCTTTTCAGCAACTCACCAAGATTTCCTGGGCCTCAGTACCTTACTATTACAAAAAAATATAATTGAGGCCAAAGATACAGCTCAACGGTCTGTCGGGAGGGAAGTACTGTGCTTTTCATACGGGTGGTAAATCCTACTAGACTCTCAATGTTTATTTATTTATGACTGCTAACTGCCTTTTTAAACCTTGTGCTATCCAGGTTCACAGCATTATCTGTACTTTCCTGCTTATTTGAAAAAATTATTTTTAAAAAATAATTCTGTTTAGGGCCAAAGAGATAGTACAGTGGTAGAGTACTTGCCTGGCACACAAACAATCCAGGTTTGATCCCTGGCACCACATAAGATCCCCCAAGCACTGCCAGGAACCACCTCTGAGGATGAAATCAAAAGTAAGCCCTGAACATAGCCAGATGGCCCCAAAAAAGAAAAACAAAAAACTTAATATATTTTTATGATTTTTAACTTTTTAAAATGTATTTATTTTTAAATTGAATCACACACAGTGAGATACACAGTTACAAAGTTGTTCATAATTGGGTTTCGGTCATACAATGTTCCAACACCCATCCCATAATCATACTATACTGTGCACCTATATAAAATTTAACACTGTGGTGTTAAACCTTTCAACAGCATCAGTGAAAATATGTATTTATTTATTTATTTATTTTGCTCTTTAGGTCACACTCAAGTGATGCTCAGGGGTTACTCCTGGCTCTGCATTCAGGAATTACTCCTGGTGGTGCTCAGGGGACCATATGGAATGCTGGGAATCGAACCTGGGTCGGCCTCATGCAAGACAAACACCCTACCCACTGTGCTATCATTCCAGCCCCTGAAAATTTTTTCTATGGTACGCAGAAGCAAACAGTTTACATTCTGTTTTACAAAAAAAAAAAGAATAAGACCCACAAAACACTAGTTTCTTGTTTACGTGATAAACTCTGCATAAAACAGATGTTTCTACTAACATTTTTTTAAAAATCAGACTTTTCAAATGTCAGAAAGGATGGTATGAAGTGCCCTTATCTGCTCAAGATAAGAAAGAACATTTTATAGTAATGTGATAAGGAAAATAATTATGTTTCAATTTTGTAGTCACTCTAGTGCTTAATACTACTTGAAACTGTTTACAGATAGTGACAAGGGCTAGGATGGGATCCGGATGGACTCTTGACTTTCAGATGCCCCGAGATACGCAGTACTTCCCAACTCCAGTTCAGCTGTATCTATTTTGCGAACATGTCAGAGTGATTGGTAATTTTTTATGTAATTTCCACTTTTATTGATTTGTTTAAAAATAAAGGTTTTTTATGAATTTCAAAAATATAATATTTTATATTTGACTAGAGCATTAACTTTTGGTTCTGAGGCAAGAATATTTCAGAAAAGTTTGAAATTTACTAGCTATATACATTTTCACCTATCAAAGACACTAAAAATGTATAATGGTTACCTGGTTCAAGCTCATTCTTTTTCCCTTCTTTGGTGGACTGAGTGAAACTTGCAGCTAATGGAAAAAAATTTCAATGAATTATTAGCAAATGATTGTTACAGTGGTTTGTTCAATTTCGCCTTTGTGTCTCTGAAGTAAATAGTGATGATTTCCAGAGAATACAAAGAATTTTGTAGAGACTCTTGATTTCAAATCAAATCTCTCAAGAGCTTATATTAACATAAAACTACTGTTATCTAATAATGATAAATATGAAAATATAAAAACACTTTCAAAATCTTAAACGATAAAAGTTTCTCTTTTTTTTTACATGTAGCAATAAGAGTTCAACTTACCAAGCAAAGTTCTCTCCCTGTTGACAGAGCAGCTGATAACCTGCAAGTCTTTCTCAAAAGTATAAAGATGCTATGAAAACAAAAATATTGTTTAGTGTGGTATTTCCTAGTAAAATCAAAACTTTATCAATATAAATTCCAATTTAGCTTTCCCTATTTTAAAAAAAAATGCCTTTTTTGGGGGGGGTGTCACGCCCAGTGATGCTCAGGGGTTACTCCTGGCTCTGCACTCAGGAATCAGGTGCTTGGGGAACCATATGGTATGCTGAGAATTGAACCCTGGACAGCCGCGGGCAAGGCAAATGCCCTACCTACTGTGCTATAGGTCCAGCCCCTAGCTTTCACTATATTTTGTTGTAGTACATTTTACTAAAGAATTTTCACCTTTTTTCATACCAGAAAGTTCCAGATTTCGGTTTGTTTTTTTGTTTTTGTTTTTGTTTTTCAAGAAATGAGTATGCTATTACAGGTCATGTTTGACGCTGAAACTTAACCACAAGACAATGGAACACAGGGCTAAGAATACAGACTCTAGCACAAAACCAAGAGCCAGATTCATTCCCGATTGCCACTTTTCAAACTCTCAACCCACCACCCCCATCAGGAAAAAAAGGTCCCTGGCTCATAAACACAATGCCATCTCCTTGTTAGAAGGACCAAGTAAAAGGATCCATCCAAAGCTCTTACAAAGCAACAGAGAACAGACACTCAAAAATGAACATTTTCATTACTCGGCAAGTGAAGTTTCAGTCAAGTCACACAAAACATCATTAGCTTGGACTATGAGGCGTTCACAGGAGCAGCTCTTACAAGACTTGTGCTTGGAGGATTGTCAAAATCATCTACTATTAAGCTTTAATTTCTATTTTCTGCTTATTGAATTTTTCAAAATATTGCAAGGGTCTGGTGGAGTTCCTGCTTGCTCAGCTCCCAAACCATCTGGACTGGATAAGCTGTGAGAAAGCTCTAGGACCTGAGGCATTTTTCTCTGTACATTGACTCAGATAATGGTGATGGACTTTTGCCAGGGGATCTAACATTTCCCAGAGATTAGTATAATGATGATCCACAATTACCAGTGGCAGGGCTTGCAACGTGGGATGTTGACACCTAGGGTAGCTGTAAGACAAAGAGCTTTGTTTCTGCTCAAAGATCACAGAGACCCTGAACCACTTTCCTTTAACCTTTCACACACCCTCGTCCTGCACGTACTGCATTCCTTTTGCTTCTATACAATCACTGTTCAGGCTAAATAAACTTGTCTATTGATCTAGTCAGTAGCCTGTATCTATTGATGATCAGTCAGTAGTTTGTGCCTGTGTCCATGAACTATCAATCTTAGACCACGTCAGATTCAGCTCGATGTACCCAAGTCCAAAGCCTCCATACAGCACCGGGGCTATTTCCTTGAGTACTGAGTACTGAAGAAAATTAAAATGGTCGTGTAGAAAGAGGATGTGATGTGCAGGCTGAGGAACTAACTATGAACAATCACAGCTATATCAGTTACTATCTTAAAGTGCACCCAGAGGATAAGGGAAAGAAAAAGAGTCAGATCTCTTTATCTTGTAGAAAATGGAGAAAAATCAAAACCCACTTGGGAAAAGTGAAAGTACTAAGAAAGTTAACTTGCTCCTGCAAACTGAAAAAGCACTGAGAATACACTAGAGTCCAAGCTGATGGGAAAATATCAAAAGGTCAGGAAATGATTAGAGAAGGCGAACAATGCTTATGGGTTAATAAAGAGGCTCTGATTTGGGGCTGGGGAGATAGTTCAAAGGCAGGAACTCTTGGAGCACTGAACTCAATCCCCCATACCACATGGCTCCCTGAGCACTGCTACGAGTAGCACTTGTGGTCCCCAAGCACTGCCAGAGTGGCTAAGGGGTTTGACCTCCTAAGAAGAAAAATCATGGATATATGCATTTAAGTTTAAGTGTTTCATTATTTTGATTCTAAAATTACACATAAGCACAGTATTTAAAAAGGTGTTTAAACATAAAAATACTACCCCAAAAAAGCCAAAGCTTTAACCAAATCACTCACCTAATTCCAACTCAATGAAAGAAGAAAAACAAGTTTGTAACTGCCCATAGCCTTCCTGAATTTTTACGATGTTTTTCTTTAATTTATTTTTTATTGGATTTTTAAAAAATGAACCACAGTGAGATAGACATTTACAAAGTTGTTCATGATGGGTTTCAGTCTTACAATTTTCCAACCCCGTCCCTTCACTAATGTACATTTCCCACCACCAATGTCCCCAGTTTCCACTACACATACCAGCTTCTCTCTCTCTCTCTCTCTCTCTCTCTCTCTCTCTCTCTCTCATATTTTTGTGACTTAAGGTTTGCAAACAGATACTGAAAGCTATATTCCTTTACCTACATTCAACACTCAGTTCCTATTCATAATGATCATTTCCATTTATTATAGCACAATGGGGAGGGTGTTTGCCTTGCACACGGATGACCCGGCCTCCCCGAGTTCGATTCCTCCCCCTTCCATTCCTCCACCCCTCTCAGAGAGCCCAGCAAACTACCGAGAGATCTCACCCACACAACAAAGTCTGGCAAGCTACCCATGATATATCCAATATGCCAAACACAGTAACAACAAGTCTCACAATGTCACTGGGCCCACTGGAGCAAATCGATGAACAATGGGAGGACAGTGACAGTGATCGTCATACTGGTCCCTTCTCCCTACAGCCCTTCATCTACCAGACACTCTGTAGAAAGCTTCCAATCATATGATGTGTGTTTTTTTTAATTGTGCACATGTATTATAGTTTCCTTACAAGGTTTTAAAAACAAATGCAATGTATTGTCTGGGCAAGCACCTTAACCCTGTGCTACTTCTCTGTATATATGGGTATAGATATAGATATAAAATGAAATGAAAATTGTATCTAGATAAAGGAGGATGCAGAAAGAGGGAAAACTGTACAAGTAGTAACCCAAGAGTAGCTTATGATTTATGGTGATTTTTACCTCATTTTGTCTGGTTTGGCAATCATATAATCCAAAGAAGATATTTCCCTTATTGTCCTGAAAGGAAATTAACCAAACATTTATTAGATAGCATTGCTTAGGGGGTTAGGCTCATATTAGTTTTTTAAAAAATGCGTAGCAATGTAATCACTATTCGCAATCCATATTCTAAGGGTAGTGCTTATTGCTCTGCAAGTCAGAAAGGGAACAAGCTTCCCTGAGCTCATCACCTGGGCTCCAAGAGCCAAATGGATCAAGAGTACACAGCTCACTGAGTTGGGGGAGTGGAGGGGTGGGAGGGGGGCTTCTCAAGTGGAACTGAATATGGTAAAGACGTGTATTTTTCTGTACTTTCTTTACATAATACATATGGGTGTCAGGAATAGTTCAATAAGCCTATGATACTCTTTTTTGATTCAATTTCTTAAATGCAACGTACTTACAGACAAAACTTAAAGCAACTTTGAAGAGCAAAACATTTTAAAATCATAGTGATACAACTGTGAAAAACTGGCTACTGAAATTTTTCACTCCTATTCCCTTATTAATAGTAAATAGTATTAACAGTAAAGTTATCTGAAAAGCTAACTTTTCTTTTTGTTAGTTCTTGGGCCACCACCAAGGATGCGCTAGAGAGCATGTGAGGTCAGGTATGGAACCTGGGCCTGTTACATGCAGCCCATGTACACTAATACCTGGGACTATCTCTCTAGCCCCAAAGTTAAATTTTCTTTTCTTAAAAACTTAGCACTTAAAATACATTCTTAAATAATGCCCTGAAATTCCGAGCACATCTTAGTCTAAACAGATGACGTGCAGTGGTAATATTTTCTCAAAGATAAAAATTTAATATATTAATTAGGTTTAAACATCTTTTGGTTGTCATTTTCTTTCTTTTGGGGGGGGGGATTTTTGGGTCACACCCGGTGATGCACAGGGGTTACTCCTAGCTTTGCACTCAGGAATCACTCCTGGCGGTGCTCAGGGGACCATATGGGATGCTGGGAATTGAACCCAGGTCGGCCGCGTGCGAGGCAAATGCCCTACCCGCTGTGCTATCACTCCAGCCCCGGCATTTTCTTTCTAAAAATATAATTTCTCATTTAGTCAAAAAATTTTCATAATACCAAACATTGTGAAGACTGAATTTCTTTTTTTTTAATTTTTTTCTTTTTAAATTTTTATTAGTGAAACACCATGAGGTACAGTTGTAGACTTACAAATTTTTGTGCTTGGGTTTCAGTCATACAATGTTTGAGTACCCATCCCTCCACCAGTGCCCATTTTTCACCACCACTGATCCCAGTATCCGTCCCTCTCCCCTCTCCCCCCATCCCACCCTGCCTCTGTGGCAGGGCATTCCCTTTTGTTCTCTCTCTCCTTTTGGGTGCTGTGGTTTGCAAAAGAGGCAGTGAGTGGAAATCATGTTCGGTCTATAGTCTACTTTCAGCATGCATCTCCCATCCTGGGAGGATCCTCTCAACACCCTTTATTTGGTGCTCTCTTCTCTATCTGAGCTGCCTTTTCCCCTAGCATGTGCGGCTGGCCTCCAAGTCATGGAGTGAACTTCCTGGTACTTATCTCGGCTATTCTTGGGTGTTAGTCTCCTATTTTGTTACTTTATGTTCCCCAGATGAATGCAATCTTTCTATATGAAAACTGAATTTCAATCAACATATTTAACAAAAAATATCCACAATCATGTTAATAAATGACAATAAATTTTATTCATTACCTATCAATCGGTTATAGCATAGAATTGTGCAAAAGAGAATATGAAAGATTAAAAGAGCAAGTCTTATCTAAAAGTATGCTGCAATAAAATAAATATAAACATACCTTATAGGTATAAATAATATTTCCATTTCTTTCAACATTTAGTACATGTAAACTCTCATAATCATCTTCACCTGAAAATAATCATAAATATTAGTTCATACTAATCAGGGAATATATATCAGGCATAAATAAAAATAAAGCATAAATATTAATGATTCCCTAATATTTATAAAATAACAGTGACCTTTAGGAAAGAGGGAAAGGAACACATTCTGAGGTGCTAGATGCGTTGGTCTAATGACATGTGTTCACTTTCCAAAGAACTAAGGTACCCATTCTTGACCATAGACTTTTCAGCGTGTATGTTATACATCCATAAATGTTAACTACCTACCAGTGTTTCCTTTATTTTGAAGTTCTCTGAAACGATATGATCTGGAACATACAAGCTGAGCACTGTTATAGCTTCTAGATACACTCATCTGTGAGAAACTCAGCCGAGATGCCAAGTGTCCAAGGAGAGCAACAAGTAGTGATGCCTTTAATGACATTCTGTGATAGCATAATAATCAAGAGGCTAAAGTAGGGAGAGCACCAACTTCTCAGTTCCCTTTTCTCCCGAGGAAGGGCAGACTGGTAGTAGGTCAGGGTGCTCTGCTGTGGGGTGCTGATCTTTCATTGCCAAGAGAGTCCCCAATATAAGGGTCCTGCAATATTGTGGTCCCAGGGATGAAGGGGATGCAAAGGGAGAAGAGTTAGGAGGGGAAACTCTCAGATTCCACTCCTTTTCCTGCCAAGTGGTTTTAGCACCACTAAGATTCCTGATGAGGAGGTCTCTGAATGTGCTGGGAAGAATACAGTCAGGAGCTGGGACTCAGCCCTGCCACATCTTCAGCGGCCTCAATACAAGGCTCCCAACCAAGAACAGTTTGAGGGCAGCTTTCCTTCCCCACCCCGCTCCCACATGAAGACTGCTGTCTAAAGCTTTTAGAAATGCATGTGCTTGGTCGGGAAATCACACATCTATTTTGTTTTGTTTGTTCTGTTTGGAGTCCACACCCTGGGATGCTCAGAGGTTACTCCTGGCTCTGCACTTAGAAATTACTTCTGGCAGTGCTCGTAGAACCGTATGGGATGCCGGGGATCAAACCCAGGTCAGCTACGTGCAAGGCAAGACAAAATGAAGTGCAATGCTAGTGAATCTAGGAAGAAGCATAGAGGAGGGCTCTCGGGGCCTCACTGTCATTTTCTTTCCCACTCTGAACACTAGTTTCACAGTTGTATTTCATTTTGTGGAATTGTTATATACAAAAGCATTATATTAAGGAAGTGTATTAAGAATCTACACAAACTAATTTGTAAGTTATCTAAATATCATCTTCTAAACTTTTACAACATCCCTCTAAATTCTATTTAAATTATTTACATACTGGTAGATACAACAATGATGATCATCAGCATTCACTGAGGACAAGTTTATAATTCACCAATTTCCTCAAAATTAAGTGACGTGAGCTATTCCCCATATATGAAGAATGTTTTTAGATGGTGAAATGAGTTATAAGAAATTCCAATGGTCACGCAAAATGATGCAGAAATCCTCCCATACAAAGCAAATTTCACTTTGTATTCTTAACTAAAAAGAGGGAAATTTGGAAAAATTAGGATAACTGGTGACCTGTACACTTGGAATAGAACTGAGGTGGGAAGCAGAGAGAAGGAACAGGTCCCACTAACTGAATCATCCTAAGACCTCACTTCCTTCTCCTGGGGGCGTGGAACAAGAGAGGAAAGGGTTGTCTTAATACAAAGGAACATTCTTCATTGTATTCTGAGCTGTCAGATACAGTTCCCACTGATTAAAAAATAAGAATAATTGTTTGACCTTAGGAAAATAACAAGCCAGTTATTAATCTATTACTAAACAGCACTTCTCGTTTCTATGTCATACATACTGTATAAGCTATCACTGTCCACATTACTGTTCAAACAGATGAGTTTCAATGAGGGTAAGCTAGTCAGTCAATTTCACACATCAAAAAAAGTGGCTAATATCAAATGTAGTATGAGATAAAGAGAGTGACCGAAGTTTCCTATATCATATTTACAATAGGAAAATGAATGATGCAGAAAAGTCCTCAAGGTAGATTTTCTGGAAATCTAAAGAGATTTTAGTTTCTTTTCATCTTGTATGTGACTCAAAACTTCTGGAATGTTATATGTCAATATTTTGAGAAGTATTTTTTTTCCTTTGAAGATTATAAGGATGCTGAGAGAGACCCTCTCTAAATACACTAAAAAGATTTCAGCTGAGATAAGAAAGCCCTTGACAAAAAGTCATAGAAAGGGAAACCAGTTTCCTTACAAAAACACAGCTATTTTTAAATCACTAGGAAAAAAAAAAGAGAGAAATTTCTCCAACAAGTGCAAATTACAACAAATGATATGTGTCCTTTCTATTAAACTAGTGATCCTGAACTATGGTTGAGTTATACTCATCAGAGGAGCTTTTAAAAGAACATGAAAGCCAAGTCCTTACCCGAAATATTCTTATTTTATTAGGCTGCCAAAAGGCACAGCCTCTGGTATATCTACATGTATTTCAAGTTTCTTGGTGATTCTAGTGTATAACAGGACTAAATAACCACAATTTACACATTTATATAATAAACAATATTGATTAGCATAACTGCGACCAGTTTATATTATCACAGTAAAAACAAAAAGGTGAAAGAATAAAAATAAAGCCTTTGGGAGTCAGAGAGCTAGTCCACGGGATAAGACGTTTCCCTGCATGCAGTTAACTCAGGTTATGATTCCAAGCACCACCAGGAGAGACTTCTGAGCACCACCAAGTGTGGCCCCCAAACTAACAAATAAACAAGTCTTGGTAGGGGGCAGGAGATAGTTGAAAGGGAATGTACCTGCTTTGCAATCAATATCTCAGGGCTTGGTCCCAGCACACACTGTCCACTAAGTACCACTGGGAGAGATACAGTGAGCACTGAGACTAGAGTAGTTCCCAAACACCACTGAATGTGACTCCAAAACAAAAAAGTAACACAATTTTTTTAAGTTTTGCTGGTTTGTTAGGTAGTAATAGCGCAATCTGAATAATCCTGCAGTTAATACATGGATCTCATCTCCAAGATTAGACATTATACAAATTTGGCAATGCTGGAAATCTCTAGTGCAGAGTCCCACTGCACATTAGTAACCCATTTGACCTTCCTTCCCAGATTAGTTGCTCATAATTTGGGCACACCCTTTTAAAAGAAGAAATCAATAACCACTTTGCTTATTCATTCTGACTCTTCTCCTAGTAGAACATCCCTTTGGAAAGTCCAGAAAAGGAAGTTTAGCAATTTCAAATGAGGAAATGTGGTTTAATTTTTATGGCTTATCTTCTTAGTACTCATGAAGGAAAAAAAAAAACAAATAAATGGACACTTACTTAAGTAAACCTACTCAAGAAAAGGAAAATAGCTATTAAATGTGCTCCCAATTCACAGTCATATAAAATTGAAGCTTGCTCACCAACATCTCATCCATTTCAAACTGTTCTTTGCCAAACACAATTTTATTAAACAAGAAGAGGTTTGCCAAATGTGTAAAATTTGTTTCCAGCTGCTAAGAGACAAAATAAAAGTATCTCTTGCCTTGAGACTGGAGAGGTAATTCAAAGGCCTGGCACACCTGCCCGGCATGCACAAGGCCCTGGGTTTGATCCCAACACATCATGATCTCTTTAGCACTACCAGGTACAGCCTGGGTAGTTTTCAAAAAATAAACCTAAAAATGATTTCTTCTCTCTCCAATGATTATGCTGGGGTGGAGCGGTTTTCATAGTTTATTTACGAAACATAAATGTTTCACATATTTTGCCAATACAAAATTTTATGAGAGGTACAGAAATATTCCTATTACATTGCCCTGTGTTTTTTTCAAAGGAAATAGCCTCCAAGCAATGCTCAGGAGTTTTGGGGACCCCAAGTGACTGTCAGTCAACTAGCTTAGTGGTACAATACAAGGATGTGGGGATGCAATGCTTCTCAGGTCCAATGGTGCCAGGGATGCCCGGGCTACCCTTGGCCATGTTGGGGCTGCCAGGATCACCCCTGGAGTTGCCTGGGAGACCATATGGTGCTGGGAAAGGGCCCTAAGCACCCTACTACAAACTGTAAAAACGGGGGGGAGGGGCTTACATTTTGTCTTTTTTTAAAGATTATGAGAAAATTATTTTAGAACCTATAAACAAAGGATCAGAAAAAATACTCAAAGAACAGCTTGAAATGGATGAGATATTAGTGAGCAAAAAAAATTTTAAATACATTTTAAAATTAATGTAAAAATACATTTAAAAACCCCTTTAAATATGTATTACTGAGAAGTACAGCAGATAGTATGTTTGCCTTGCATGTGGCCAGTACTGGTTCAATCCTTAGCACCACCTACAAGCCTCTACAGGCCCCACCAGGAGTGAATCCTGAGTGCAGTACAGGGAGTAAGCCCTGAACACAGCTGAAGTGGCCCAAAAACTTATGTACATAGATGGATAGATATAAAATAATGAGAAAATGGACAAAAGAATGGATAGACAGGACTAGGGAGATAGTTTAAAGAACTCCACTGGAGTTTGGCATGTGAAGGCCTCAGTTTGATCCCAAGCACTGTATAGTCTCCTAAAAACCACTAGGAGCATTTGGAAGTGCTACATAGAACACCCTCAAGCCCCTCAAAAGAATCAATAGATATTTTATAGAAGGGGAAACTCCGAAGTCCAAATATGCAGAGATACTCAACCATAGACCACAATGAAATAACATCTAGACCTAATGTTTACACACACACACACACACACACAATTTTTAAGCTAGAATGTTAAGAGCTTGTGAGGATATCAAACACTAAAACACTGCAATACCACAAATGGGGATGTTAGTAAGTGTGACTGCTTTTAAAAAACAATTGATAACTCTTAGGAAAGGTGAAGATGTGCCCAGCCTATGAACCAGAGACTCAACTGTCAGACACCCATCTTAGACAGCCATTCACACCGCATCAGGAGACATGCACAAAAAAACAACGTCAAAAGTAAATATTATCAACTTCCAAATGTCACTGGAGAATGCTAACAAGATGAGCTGCACAGGAAGCAGCCTGAGACAGCTGCTTCCAGGGTGAAGTGGGATTATCACCTGGAGGAGGAAAGAAGAATCCGACTGATTCCAGCTCTTGATTTGGGGCATCAAGCCTTAAAGCAAGTCCAAAAGCCTCAGGTGACTTCAGCAAAGCTCTACAACAGAAACTGGTTGTGAGCGGTGTCCCACCCTGGTTCATATGGCCAGATCTTCTACATATCAATTTCTCATGATATATGAGCCACACTTCATATTGAGAGAGCAATCCAATATGAGGATCGACAGCTAAAACTATCAGCTAACCATATTCACCACACTTACAACAAGTCATTTCTGGAAAGGACGATCTAAGCCATACACCTTGTCTGCCAAACTGCTGTCTGTAACACAAATGAATACTATACAGCAGTGAAAATTAATGGCCTACAGCTAAAGCAGTCAATATGAGTAAATTTTCCACAATATTGAGAAGGGTAAAAAGGCATACAGATTCCATGCTATCATTTATTTTGTCTACAGTTTAGTTTTTCTATCATTTATTAATGAGACCCATTGTATTTACTGTTTGGGGAGAATGGAGATGTTATTGGCGCCTGCTTGAGCACATCGATGAGTAACGGGATGTCAAGTGATCAAGTGACATTTATTAAAAAAAAATTCCTGCCCTAAAATGAGACGTTTAGCTTAGGGAACTAAATATTAGTTAACAGAAATAAAAACCTTCAGAAAAGATTAAAATATAAAATTTTAATTGGCTGTCATCTCTGAGATATCGGGATAGGGAAAAGAATACAGGAACATATGGAAGACCCAAGAGTCTTTAACAAAAAATCTTGATGTGATCCATTGTCTTAAGTGATAGAGTGAAAATTTTATTTATAGTTGGCATGCTAAAATATTATTTTGTATAAATTTCATTTATAGAACAAGTTATATTTTTTGTAACTCATTAGAACAGTTTAACCCAGAATCAATAGCAGAAATAACCAAATCTGCTCTCGTTAACTCCTGATTGCCTAATATTCTATTTATCCTATAGCTACTACATTTTAATGAAGAAAGTAAAAGTCGCCTATCTCTCTGGCTACTTTCTCATGGAATGTGTGATCCTCTGTGAGTATACCCTAGCCTCAGTAAGAAATCTTCCATTGTGTTTGTTGATGGAAAAATGTTAACACTTCAAATTCTGATAGTGAGCATGGAATGGGGACATTGAAAATGAAGCGGTTGCTCATAATTTACATTTGAAAAGCTTAGATTTTGAAAAATAATTTGCACAAATGTGTAGGGTAATAGTTGCACAAGAAATAAAATAGAATCCAGACACCCCTCCCAGTGCCTCAAGAGGAAGAGGAATTAACACATATACTTTTGAGTCACCACCCACTGTTGAGTATAAGAAGTAACCATTTCTTTCAGAGTTAACATCCTGCCAGGGTGATCTGAAGAAGCAAAATACTACTAATATGAGAAAAGTTGGTGTCTCACAAGATGACCTTGTGAGGTCGTAAGGCTCTTATTTACTGGAATATCAACACACAGGTTTTTATTTCTTCAAGATGAGTGAAAGAGAAAGGAAAACTGAATCTACGTTTTTCCATTACAACACATGTTACTAAAGCATAAGACTGTGGTATGTCACACTTCACCGAACTGCTCATTTACAGACCTCTGCCATTAGCTATATAAGGCAGAGGTCAGAGAAAGGCCAACTTTGAGGTAGAAAACAGATTCAAAGCTGCCTATTCTGTTTTGTTTTTAAATTAAGCCTAGGCTGGAGAGACAATATGGGGATTAACGCACTTACTTTCCTTATGTAAGACCCAGTTCCAACCCCAGCACCAAATAGAGTCCCCAACACTGGCAGGAGTGACCCTGGTTCATATGGCCAGTAAGCTCTGAGCATTGCCCAAATACTTCCCGAGGGGGGGAAAAATAAGCATTTCTCTTTTTTTTTTCTGTCCTTCCTTCTATCCATTGTTTTTTCATCCCCAAAGAGTTAAACCTTTGGGAAGGGGGAGATGACAGCCACTAGAGCACATGCCTGCCATGCATGGGTTTGGTCTTTGCCACTGCAAGCCCCCAAGGTGCAAGACAAACAAGTTAATCTTTGAGAACTCTTGAGATAGTGATGCAATACCAAGAATGACACTAACAGCAAAGTTGGGGACAAGCTGCACAAACAGGACTTCTTCCAGGGCACTGACAATCAACATTCCAAGTGGCAAGCCTGCAGAAATCTGCTAAAGCCAGAGAAGGTGAAACCAGAAGGCAGGAGATATCAAGCTTTGACCAGAATGAGAAGGAAAAGAGTTGGAGGGAGGGAACATTGATGGTTTTCCCCTCAGGTCCTGCCCTCCCGGGTTTAAACTAAATAAGAAAACCGAGACACAGGCGCTGATTAGATTCTGCCAGGTCTGATCCAGGTGATCATTGTTCTTTCTGATGCAGTTCTTAAAGTCTGGAGAGCTGCATTATTTAGAGCAAAACGTTTTAGAAAAAAAAAATGAAGAAGAGAAGGAAGGAAGGAGGGAGGGAGGGAGGGAAGGAGGGAGGGAGGGAGGGAAGGAAGGAAGGCAGGGAGGGAGAAAAGGAAAGAAAACCGGGAAATCACAGATGTCCCTTTCTTCAAAGTTCCAAGATAACGGATGCCCAAAAGTCACCTTGCACTCCCTCAAAATCAAAGCAGTTTGTACTGCACAAACCCCAACTCCAGCTGTCCGAACCCTCCCCAGGAGCAAGAAACCCCAGGGGTATTTACTCTCCACGAGCCCGCTCTGGGTGGCTGCCAGCTGGGATTGCTGGGGTGGGAGTTAGGGGCAGCAAACAAGAAAAGTCCCGGGAGTCTCTATGGAAAGCCGCCAGCTCAGGCCCCCGCCCGTGACACCTGCGCGGGACACTGGGCCTCGCACCCGAGTTTTCGACGCTGTTCCGACACGGTGTAGACAAGCCTCACGAGTACGTGATATACCGGGCGGCGCCGCCGTTCACTAAATTAGCGTCTGGTTTTTCCTGGTGACCGCGACTCACCTTTTCTATCTCATTAGGGTAATCACCTCCGGAGCCCCTGCTGGAGGAGATGAGCCTCTCTGGGCCAGCTGAGTGTGCGTGCAGTGCCAGAAACGGATCCTTTTCCCGTCGTCGTCCCCCCCACCACACACACACACCCTCCACCCACCCACCCACGCACCCCACCCCTCCACCCCTTATGGCACCCGGGAACCGCTCCGAAGCCCGGCTGTTCTGGTCAAGGCTCAGAGAAGGCAGGGGAGCCAGGGGGGGCTGCCTGCAGGAGGGGGCGCAGCCCAGCCACGACCGTGCCAGAGCGTGGGCTGCCGCGCCAACTTTTCCTCCAGTGGCCGCGGAAGTCTTGGCAAAGGCTAGTCTCCACCCGGGGGAGCTCAGTCCTTCAGCACCCACCTTCACGGAGTTGCCCGGTGCCTCCCCCCCAATCCCCCCAGGAGCACTGATTCCTCCGAGCCCCCCAGCCCAGCTGCCCCCGAGCCCCCCACGCGCACCTCTCGCACCTGCGCCGCCGCCGCCGCCTCCAGCAGCCGCCGAGCGCGCGCGCAGCCACGGGAGCGCGTCCCGCCGGAGGTCGAAGTCGGCGTCCAGCAGGAGAACCATGGCCGGGACGCGGCCACGGGGCGGCTCCCGCGTTCGGAAGCCGCGGACATGCCGGGCCCCGAGTGCGCCGCCGCCGCGTCCGGCCCCGGCACCGCCCCCAGCGCCGCTGCTTTCGGTTCCGCGCGTCTGGCCCGGCGGGCGCCGCCCCCGCCCCCGCGCCCTTGGGGGACACGCGGGCCCCGAACTACCCCGCTAGGCGGCCCGAGGTGCGGCTGCCAGAGCTAGGGGGTGTTTTCAGGCCCCTGGGGAGGTGCATGTCGACCCCAATTTGGAAACTTTGCTCATTAAGAAGCCAAGTGGATTGCCACCCAGGTGGGCTTGTTTCCATGACCCCGGGGGGTGCTGGGCCTCACAGCTGGGGGGAAAGGGACAGCGTGGAGGGGACTCAAGGGACGGAATCTGGGGCCTGCAGGACCCAGTGCAAGGCAGTAACGCTGGTTTTTCTTTTTCTTTTTCTTTTTTAATTCTCTCCTTCTTCCACCCGCCCTCTCTTCCTGATTTAGGCAGGCAGATAGGGAAGTCCCCTTCCCATGCAATGGCAGTAAAGCTCCTGGGAAGTAATAGCCCTGACCTCGTGGAGTAAGGGTGCCAGTCTGTAACAGACCCTGAGGAGGCTGGACCAACCCCCTGGAACAGAAGCTTGGGCAGAAACAAAAGCCAGGAAAGGAATTTCAAAGAAGACCATCACCACTCCCAACCCCCTTGGTAACCTTCTTACCTACAGACTTTTACCTAGGTAGAAATCCCACATGGGGGCAGGTTGGAGAAACCCTATAAAGGCCACCTTGAACAAAGGAAGCCCACATATGCTGCCTGAGCCCATGTGGTGCCTGAGCACATGTGTCTACGGCATCTCCCCTCTTGAGATGTGTACTTTCATGCTTTCATGTCTAATGCAGGGATGTGCGTAGGGGCTCTCACCGCCCTTGGAGAAGCCAGGGCTCGCTCTTGAGCAGGTTACTCTCCACTCTCTCCCATTTTCTCTGCCTCCTTCCCTTTAAAATCTCAAAAAAAAAAAAAAACCTGTGTAATTTCATAATTTCACTGTTCATCTACTCTTGAAATTCCTTTCTTCAAGGCGAGACAAGAACCCAGTAATCCTGGGTCACGGGTGACAGACGGGGAGAAAGTGACTGTCTTTCTCCTCCCCACTTCACATAAGTCACCTGTGGGGCCCACCGACATCATTTCTTCCTCCCTCCCTTCCTCCCTTCCTTCCTTTCTCTTCTCTTATCCTCTCTCCTCCTCTTCCCACCTTTCCCCTGCATTTTCCTCTTCTCTCCCCTTGAGGGCATGAACCCAGGGCTTCTCTCATGCAGCTGAGTGTCTCGCCACTGTGCCCCATTCCTGGTAACTTCAAGATGCTGGAAAGAGTTCATCAACTTTACATGAACAAGCCGTCTGCCTGCCCCAAGGCAGAGCTGCTTCTAATGCCTTGAAGTTGAGGCGTCAGCTTTGGGTTTAATCCTCAGCACTGCATGTTCCCCCTTACCCCCACCAAACCCATCCCCCCAAACCCCAACCTTAGGGTCCAAGCAGCACTACATCCTCCTGGGCACTGAATAGTGGACTTAGTCAAGACTACTGGGAGTGTCCCCCCAACCCCACCCCATCCTGAGCACCCCAGGGCGATCCCATTCCCGCAAATTACGTGCTCTAGCATGCAGGAGCCCCGGGTTCATTCTCGGGCACATGTCCGTTCCTAGTGTCTCTGGATGTAGGACACACACCCCCCCTCCAAAAAACCAATAAAGTCCCCAGAAGAGCTCATTCTTTCAGGGACACCTGCCTTCCTAGGGACCTTCCCATCGCTGCCCTCGCCCCCATAAATCAGTCCAATGTTTTGGGTCAGATCCAACACCAGGTTATTATTCAGCCCTAAAGCAATTGTGTTCATGCTCCTGAACAGAAGTTCTTGAATAAAATACTTTCTCCACCTCCACCCGCTGCCACCCTGCCCACGACCACCCCATCCCTGCCCATTCCAAGGTAAAGTGCCCACACTTAACAGCCCCTTACCTAGAACTTCAGCTCCAGAGGGATTTGGCTTCCAGAATCTTTTCTCTCCCACACTCTTACCTATGAAAAAACAAACCAGATCCTTATAACCTGGCTCCACAAAACCTTTTCAAAATTGCACTTCATGGTGGTCCCAAGTAGTGAACAATGAGTTATCACTTTTTTTTCCCAGTTTTTTGGTCACATCTGGCTATACTTAGGGCTTACTCCTGACTCAGCGCTCAGGAATCACTCCTGCTGGTGCTCAGGGAATCATATGGGATGCCAGGGATCTAACCCAAGTTGGCTGCATGCAAGGAAAGCGCTCTACCCGTTACACTATCTCTCCACCTCCCAATCTTGTAACCACTTTGACCCCAGAAAAGATGGACCTTGAATCAAGGCATGCCTCTCTGCCCCTTGTCCCTCTGCCTCCTACTGAGGCTGACATTACCTGGGTTTGCTCAATGACCACTGAAGGATGGGCAAATAGAATATGGACTATATAATGCTTTCCTGGGGGATTTTGAAGTTAGGATCTGAAAACAACCTGTCATCTGAGAAGCCGTTTGACTAGGCAGGCTCCTGCCCTCACTGTCTGTGCCAGCCTCTGATGCATCACTGTCTCCAGCACTTCAGGGCTTCTTAGCTTCTGGAGGTTTGCAAACTACTCAAGAAGTGTAAAAGAAACTTGCTTTTGCCCTAGAGACATGTTTCTTCATCTGAGATGGAAGATGAACTCACAGAGAACTTCATGACTCACTCTCCAATACACAGGGAAACTCCTCCCAGCTGTCAGCTCCCTGAAGATTTACAGAAATGCCTTTGAAAGCTGCTAATATTACTTATGCATGAAAGGGAGGTCTAAAATTATGGTATGCTGTTACAATGAAAGTTTCAAAACAAATGAAACTTTTTGCCTCTGTCATACAAAATGCCAGTCACGAGGCTGTGTGTGTGTGTGTGTGTGTGTGTGTGTGTGTATCTTTTGGGCGACATCTGGCAGTGCTGTGTGCCACACCTGATAATGCTTCTAGCCCTGTTGGGGATGCTCTGGTGATGTTTTGGAGACAGTTCTGTGCTGCGATTAAACCCAATGCATGCATTTAAGCCTGCTGAGCCATCTCTCTGACACTCACATGCATACTTTTAAAAATCAACTTTGTTGTTTTTATTTTGTATTTATTTATTTATTTTGGCTTTTTGGGTCACACCCAGCGATACTCGGGGTTACTATGGGCTCTGCTCTCAGGGATTACTCCTGGCGGTGCTCAGGGACCATATGGGATGCTGGGAATCAAACTCTGGTCAGCTGCGTGCGAGGCAAATGCCCTACCTGCTGTGCTATCACTGCAGCCCTGCTCTGTTGTTTTTAATTTTTACAGTTAACCTCTATTTTTCCCAAACAAGACTGATTGTATAATCCTCATTAATCAGTAATGATATGAACATCCTCTTCAAAATATATTTAATTACAAAAGACTCAAGAGAGGTAAGAAATAATTAAAGAAGGCAAAAGAAAGGTATAATCTGGAGGAAAATGGAGGCAGAACCCTCCATGACATTGAAGCTAAAAGCATCTTTAAGGATGAAACACCACTGACCAAGCAAATGGAAACAAACATAAACAAATGGGACTACACTAAACTAAGAAGCTTCTGCACCTCAAAAGAAATAGTGACCAAAATACAGAAAGAGGCCACAGAATGGAAAAGAATATTTATCCAATACCCAACTGATTAGGGGTTAATATCCAGGATATACAAGACACTAGTAGAATTGTACACGAAAAAACCTCCAACCCCATCAAAAAATGGGGAGAAGAAATGAACAGAAGCTTCCACAAAAAAGAAATACAAAGGGTCAAAAGTACATGAAATAATGCTCGACTAATGCTCCACATCGCTAATCATCAGGGAGATGCAAATCAAAACAACAATGAGATACCATCTCATATCACAGGGACTAGCACACATTCAAAAAAACCAAAGCAGTTTGTGTTGGCGTGGAGGTGGGGGAAAAGGGATGCTCTGTTGATGGGAATACTGACTGGTCTGACCTTTCTGGAAAACATGGACATTCCTTCAAAAACTAGAAATTGAGAAATGTGATCCTGCAATACCACTTCTGGGAATATCCCGAGGGTACAAGAAAACACAGTAGAAACAACATCTGCAGCTATATGTTCATTGCAGCACCGTTCACAATAGCCAAAATCTGGAAACAACCTGAGTGCCAGAGAACAGATGACTGGTTAAAGAAACTTTAGTACATCTACACAATGGAATACTATGCAGTTGTTAGGAGAGATGAAGTCATGAAATTTCCTTGTAAGTGGACAGACATGTAGTGTATCATGCTAAGTGAAATGAATAAGAAAGAGGAGGACAGACATAGAATGACCGTACCCATTTGTGGAATATAAAATAACATAATATGAGACTGACACCCAAAGACAGTAGACACGACGGCCAGGAAGATTGCCCCATAGCTGGAAGCCTGTCTCCTGAGCTGGGGGAGAAGAGAGCTAGAATAGAAAAGGGCTCACTAATTAAATGACGTTTGGAAGAATCGTTGGGCTGGAGCGATAGCACAGCGGGTAGGGCGTTCGCCTTACAAGCGGCCAACATGGCCGACCCGAGTTCGATTCCTCCGCCCCTCTCGGAGAGCCCGGCAAGCTACCGAGAGTATTCAATATGCCAGACACAGTAACAACAAAGTCTCCAATGGAGACGTTACTGGGCCCGCTCGAGCAAATCGACGATCAACGGGAGGGCCTTTACCTTTACCTTGGAAGAATCGTTTGGTATGAGAGATGTGTGCTGAAAATAGATAAAGGACCAAACATGATAGCCTCTCAGTATCCATATTGCAAACCATAATGCCCAAAAGTAGAGAGAGAGTATGGGGGAAATTGTCTGCCATGGAGTCAGGGGAAAGGTTGGAAAAGGGGATTCATTGGGGGCATTGGTGGTAGAGAATGTGCACTGGTGGAAGGATGGATGTTTGATCATTGTATGACTGAAACTCAAACATGAAAGGTTGTAACTGTATCTTATGGTAATTCAAT